GAAACGCATCTGCTCAAATGGAACCAAAAGGTAATGAAATATGCTTTATTTTATTCTTTTGTAACTGTTATTAAAATATTAAAGGCTTAGTTCGGCATTTTACACTTAAAGCCCTGTTTTAAGATCGTTTCTGATGAAATAGAACGGTTAAGATTGAAATTTGGACAAATGCTGCTGTCCCGAGAATTTTAGCTTTCTGTGTTAGACAACAATGGTTGTTGGTTGTCTATGTGCACTGGAACAATCAATCATGAAACGCATTAAACTTTAGTTTACAAGGACGTGAAACTCACTGAGGGTGTTCACTGATATGGTCACAAAAAATTGCTGCAAAAGAAGCTTTCCAACAGGCTTTATCGTAGTTTTTTTTATCAAGTCAAGTCAATGGAGTCAAAAACTACGATAAAACCTGTTGGAAAGCTTCTTTTGCAGCGAATTTTGTGTGACCACCATATCAGTGAACAACCCAGACTACTCAGTGAGATAGATCTTGGTCGCTTAAGACCCAAATATGTAATAATGATTGCCGAAACAGCATGTTGTCAAAAATGTAGAAGAAAAATGTAAGAAGCAGGGGATAAAATCTTAATGATTAGATTCTGTATTTTTTTCTGGCACTCAAATTGTTATACCGAAAACAAGTAATCTGCTCAGTCGATCCCTGTGGATATCGACTTGGGACAGGAAATGTTCACTTTTTAATTGGCATGTAACTGGAATTTCTTTCCTAACTGTCTGACTTTGAGTCTTTGGGGAGAACAGAGCACTGTCCGTAATTGAGACCAGCAGACTGGGCTGAGCTTTCGTGCGTGGACTGCCAAAGGAGAAAGCTCCTATAAATCCCTTTCATATGGATGTCAGCAAACAGGGCCATTTTCTTGAAGCCCTTCCAAACTAAAAAAATCTTTCGATAGGTCCTCTTATCCTCAAGCGCAGGTGGCTCAAGCACAGAAGTTATTGAAATGATGCTCCCTCGCCCACTTGGCTCCTCCACATAAATGGATGTCTTGATCATTTTCGGCACGGAGCGCTCTGTCATTTATGATGGGATAGATAGAGGCATGCAGATCTTAAAGCTTTGCATTATTTATGCTTGATGTTTTTCATGGCCAGATGTTCAAGGTTGTTTGCAGACGACGTTTTGAGAGACGTTCTGCTTTTTTTCTTGCATGCATGTTATTGCATTTTCAGTGGCCTCAAGTTTTCATGCTACTTGGTTTGATATTTTGAATGCAATGCAATGGCATTTTCCAAAAATGTCCTTTTTTGCCCACTTAGCTTTACATTCATCCTTTTGGATAACGCTTTTGCCGTGCCTGTAGTTGTCTGTCTCTTTCCCTGAGTAATCAATGTTAGCCCATCTGCTCATTAAATCATGCCAGAGCACTGAAGAACAGGAGTCTGAAAGCTGGGTTTGAGTTATGGGGTTTACAGCTTTGATCGCATCGTGTTATGTAACATTCAGGAACATTGTGTCTGCGCAAAATTCTGCAATCCATTCCCAGACGCAGAGGAAGCTGGCTAGCTGCAAATTTGCTCATTAAATGAAACGGTTTCAGAAACGCACATATTGTGCTTTGGTGAAGTGTAATATTGGCAGTGAGTACCACGCTGGGCATTGTGTTTGGCAGCAGAGGGTTACTTTTAGCTTCAATACCAATATATCAATACCTAATATACGTATTTATAGATTTATTTTATATGATGGAAGCTTGTTTTATATGATGTTATATGTATGTTGTTTTATATGATGGAAGCATCATTCAAGTGAATGATGCTACAGGTTTCTGTGCCTGTGTGCATTGCATACAATATGTAAGATTTACACTACTGTATGTAAGATTTTTGGAATAAAATATCCAAAAACCACTAGAACAATGTTATATATTTTTGTTGATTTGTGTACTTATATCATCCCAAATGTTTCCAAGAATGACACAGGCCATGTCCGCGGATCGCCTATCAATGACATCATACCCGCGTTACCCTCGATTTCCGTTTTTATTTTGATGAAACCATGGAAACACCAAAGACGCTTTAATATATTATAGTTTTATTAGACAGGTGAGCAACTGTTTAGATATATTCATCGACAGAAAACTAATCACTGTTATACAGCTCAACGCAGTTAAACTTTTCTTGTTTGTTTAAAACTCGTTTTCTTGATTTACGCGAGTACCATATTTATTTACCAGGCCTAATATCGATCTAGCTCACTGCAGTGTGCGACAAATGTCTCATATAGCACCCACCGAGAGAACATAACATCTTTCAACACACTCAAATATAACAGCGCTGCGTTACCCCTTGAAAAAGTGGAAGCGACATAATAAAAGCTCCACTGCTCTCGAGTGTGTCGCGCTTGTCTCTTATTAGCAATCACTCCTGCGGCTTCGTTCCTCTCTTTAATACATTACCGGTCATTTAATGAATATGATTTCCGGCTGTAGAGGTGAAGAAAACAACTGATTCTGTGAAATCTAGGTTTTGAAAAACAAAAAACCTCTAGTGGTGAAAAATTACGTAGTGTGCCTTTAAAACTAAATCATTTTGTATTACCTCCAACCAAATACCCAGGTGTCAGGCAATAGGTTTTATGGTGCAATTATAATTCCTGCTCAGCACATTGTGGGATTTACATAAGATGGCACTCGTAGGCCAGATGTTTATTTCCCCCCATATAATGGAGCGTGTTGGCAGGATTGTTAGGGCTGCAGAATTGGCGTGCTGAAATACGGGGGGTGGGTGTGTGTTCAGTTTAAGCGCTCTGCACTGTAGGCAATACCTGTGTGGTTCAGATAACGGTCAAGTGCTCTTGTATTTTCTGCTAGCTAGAATTGGTGCTGATCCACGGCACTCTGGAGATAGACGACAGGCAGCTGCTGCACACGGGACTCGAAATGAGGGAACATAGACTGTTCCAGACCAGGAAACAACAGGCGCTTTGCCATGACCTCGTATTGTACACAAACCCCTGCTAAACTAACTCTGTAGTTTTCTGTAATATACACTGCTGTTTGGGTGAACAAAAGAAAGGAATATCCAGTGTTTGTGTGTGTGTGTGTGTGTGTATATATATATATATATGAAGAGTTCAGATGCAAAAGCCTCTAAGTGCCATTTGAAATTTTCTTCTAAAATGATCATTTTTACCAAGCTTGTATGTTTAAATTCAGTAATTTCACTTAAAGGGCAATGAAGATTACCTATTAATTGCCATTTAAGTGAAATTACTGAACTTAAATATACAAGCTTGATAAAAATGACCATTCTAGAAGAAAATTTCAAATGGCACTTAGAGGCTTTTGCATCTGAACTCTTCATATATATTCTACCTAAACTCTTTTAACAAAGAATACGTTGCTCCTTATATTTCCTGCTGTTTGGTAATCTATTTACGTTCACTTAATCATTGTAATTATCATTTTGATTGAGAGACAGACATGCATTAGCATGAATCATTTGGTAAAATGATGTGTTCAGTGCATTGCGTCGTGGTTCTGCCCTCTCATGTTCTCTTATAAATCTGAATTATTCAAGAAATAAAATGTTACTCAGGGAGACGGAACAGGAACAGACGATTTCTGCTAACAAGACAGCACTATGTAGTGTTCACAGTTCTTTATTACACCCACTCACTCACTAACAGAAGACAGACACTGGAATGATTGTGCCTTCAAGTCTGGCTGATCAGCAATGTTGTAAAACCCCAAGATGCTGAAGACAGGCAATTACTTTAGTTTACAACAGACTCTCTCCTTTTCTCATTTTGGGTTTCTCAGATAAGACAAACTATATACTGTAGCTATAAATGTAAATATCATCTGTAGTTACTGTATGTTTGCATTCAATCTCTAAGTGAACACTTTTTTTGAATATTTTTAAAGGATGCTGTCATTTACTGAGATATTTATAAACAAAATTTGGGTGTAATTTAATTGGGTGTATATATAAATAGTGTATTTGAAGAGTTCAGATGCAAAAGCCTCTAAGTGCCATTTGAAATTCTCAATGATCATTTTTATCAAGCTTGTATATTTAAGTTCAGTAATTTCACTTAAATGGCAATGAAGATTACCTATTAATTGTCATTTAAGTGAAATTACTGAACTTAAATATACAAGTTTGATAAAAATGGTCATTCTAGAACAAATTTCAAATGGCACTTAGAGGCTTTTGCATCTGAACTCTTCATTTATAATTATACGTATATACTGTGTGTGGAGTACAGTGACTTAAGGAAATTTACTGGCTATAAAATATTTTTTAACAGCCATAAAACGTTTTTATTATTATTATTATTATTATTATTATTTAAACAGGCAATGATCCAATCAAATTACAAACAACAGCACAAATAAATACAATATAGAAAAATTGCACCGTTTCATATACTCACCAACGCCTATGTTTACTTGCATTTGGTGCTTGGCGGGTGATCATTTTAGGCCATATCTTTGCAAAAGAAGATTGCAAAAAGTATTTAATAAAAGGGTGCCAATAACTGTGGTCAATGCATTTTGGAGAAAAACCTTTATTTCATAATGTGATCCAAAACTTCAATGAAAGGTTTTGAATGAAGGATAAAAAGGATAAACAGTGCATATTTTTTACAGACATTTTTGATCATATTTACCAGGGGTGCCATTAATTCTGACCACAAAGTGAAATTTTGAAAAATTTGAATATCGTGTAAAAGTTCATTTAATTCAGTAATTCAACTTAAAATGTGAAACGAATACATTATATAGACTCATTACATGCAAAGTGAGATATCTGAAACCTTTATTTGTTATAATTTTGATGATTATGGCTTACAGCTATAAAACATTTTCACAACATACTAATTTTGAATTTGGGGTTTTCAAAAGCTGTAAGCCATAATCATCAAAATTATTACAAATAAATGCTTGAAATATCTCACTTTGCATGCAATGAGTCTATATAATATATTAGTTTCACCTTTTAAGTTGAATTACTGAAATAAATGAACTTTTGCATGATATTCAATTTTTTTGAGTGTCACCTGTATTTATCATTATTTTTTGTTATATTTTAATGGGATTTACTGCAGTGCCATCACTGGAAGTGGAAGGACTTGCATGAACCTGGTAAAAATTAAAATGCTCAAAAGCTCTTCACTCACAGGGTTGACAGCTCGCTCAAGTGTACTGCCTTGAGGGTTCATTTCCATCCTCAGTCCAAATCCTCCTGCCAGTCACGTCTGCCTCTGGGCTTTGAGTGCGCCTCGGTCTGGCCACTTCATCATACACACACACACACACAGGCTAATCTCTGAGCTCTCCAAATAATATCATCCACATAAGCCAATGACAATCTGCTCACAGCGTGAAGGAACTGCTCTGACAGGGCCAAACAATAAACAGGTACACACAAAAAGCATTAGGAAAGTATATTTTAAATGTCTTATGCCATTTTTTCAAATCTTATTATTCTTAGTGAGTAAAATTAATATAATTCACATAAAACATTCAATTTGTATAGTCAACATTAAACATTGTTCATTATGTGTTCAGTCTTACAATCTAATGCAATTTTCTTTTATTAAATTAAGCTGTCTTGATGATGTCAGTGGAAAGGAAAGTCGTTTCAGAGGTAAAAACATTTTGATGACAAACTTTTCACTCTCAACTATTGTGCACTGACATATCATGCATAATCTATTAGGAAAGAAAAGCAGACCAATTTTGATTTAATGTTAACTTTGGCTATTTTAACAGCTCTGGTCTTGTGTGTTGGTAATGTGTCAAATGCTGTCTATGATCTCACATTGTTTCTCATTTTTGCACTTCATTATTCAAAAGGATATTTCTTGGCAGCATGAGATGGAAAGGCACAGACTGTACTTCTGAATCCAGACCCACGCCAGCAGCTGAGAGTTACATGCATTTAGAAGGCCTCTAAAGATCTCTATGCAGTGGGTGCTGAAGGATCGTGGAGTGTGGTGAAATTAATCTAATCAGGTGACTGCAGCTTAAAGGTAAGAATGTATACTTAAAAATTCGAAAAAAATAATTTAGTATCCAATGAGTGGTTTCAGGATGATGAAATCTACACTCGATGCTAGTGGTGCTTGGCTGTGCAAAACTCGGTGGGTGGTTGCCATGGCGTTTAGAATGTTTTTGTCTTGTTGCTAGGGTGTTCTGGCCCAAGTCGAAATTCTTTAGTTGTGTTCCAAATGATGCACTCAACCCTGTAGTCTATGAATTTATATGGTAGCTTTTTCATCCAGTATCAGAGTCTGATAGTCTCACCTATAAAGTATGGAAGCTTGTTTTTGCCACAGAATAAAACAATTAAAAAGATAAGTGTGACTTTTTACCTCACAATTCCGACTTTTTTCCCCCTCACAATTGTGGAATATTACGGAGCCCCTAAAGGGACAAAATTTTAAATGGGAGGTAAAGTTTTGCGTGGGAATGCAAATATCTTTGGGAGGGAAAGCAAAAGTTTTGCGAGGGAATGCAAAGTTTCTCGGGGGAACACAAAATTCTTGTAAGGGAACGCAAAATATTTGAAAAAAAAAAAAAAAAAAAGTACACCACCATGTCCCTTTAGGGGCTCTGTAGAATAAAAACTCAACTGCAAGAAATAATTAGAATTGTGAGATATAAACTTTCAATTCAGGCTTTTTCTTGCAATTCTGACTTTATATCATAGAATTCTGAATAACTATTGACTATTTTACTCGAGCAAGTTTATATCTCACAATTCTGACTTTATAACTCATAATTGTGACTTTATGTATCACAGAATTCTGACTATATAACGCAAAGTTTATAGTTGATATCACGCAATTCTGAGAAAAAAACTTCAGACTTCGTCACAAATAACTTTTTTATTTTTTATTCAGTGGTGAAAACTTCCATAATGGAGTGTCCAAGTGTCCAGACTTTGTTTTATTTTATTTATTTTTTTCAGTTAATTAGTGCATCATCCAGGTATTTAAACTGGAATTTTCATGCACCAGGTAAAAATTCACAATTTCAGAAAAGTGGTAGATTGATTGTGATTTAAATGAATGATGAAATACATTATCTGCAAGCAACATAAACTGCAAATTATTGTCACATGTAGTAAAATACGCACGAGTCGGAGAAATAACAATGGGGAAAAAAAAACACATAAGAGAAATAAAGCCTAGACAACAACCTAGGAACAATCTCAAACTGAGGGATTAAATAAACAGAGCTAACAAGATAATTAATGAGAACACAGATAGGGTGATTAGTCAAACAAACGGAGAAACTGAGGCACAGGTTTTTTCCAGAATCAAAACACATACATGTAACAATTATATAAATTTTTTTCTGACCCTGATCTTTTTTTGAAGGCTCAAAGTTGGCTGAAAACAACCTGCCTTCAAAACTCATGAGCAAAGATAGTGAAACTGTGCACTTCAGGGCGGTCCTGAGGCAAAAAGCAAACGTTTTGGGCTGCGAATTATTGCAACAAATTTTCTGTAATCTGAAAGATAAATACATGCTTGAAAGAAGTGAGGCTGCAAGAAGAAACCTATTCCCAATTGCATAGCAAGTCCCAGATAAAGAACTCCCCGTTAAGTGAGGCATACATGACTTCAAATAGTCTGTAATTGGTTCATTTTTAAAAGTGTACAGTAATGTAGATATCCTCTCATCTGGAAATTCATATAGTTGCTATTAATTTTTCTGCCCTACGGCACGCTCATCATTACGCTCATAAATAGCGTGAATCTCATTTATAGCATGACTGCTGTAGGTGCATCTATCCATGCATGACATTCTCAGGCTTACTCGGAGGAACAGTGTCGGCCCACATCTCCCTGTCTGGCACCGTGTGGAAGATGTGTATGCAAGCTCTGCTTAAGTAGGAGCAAACAGAGACCGCATTTACATTTACATTTTCATTTGGCAGTGAGACATTGCAAGTTTGTACAATACCTCTCTCTCTCTCTCTCTCCCCTTTCCTGCAGGGCTCAAGATAATTATAGTTTGATTCAATGCTTTCTGGGGGGGCTGGGGGGCTTTTCAGTGACTGTGCTGCTCCCAGAACCAAAAGGTAATCTAGGAATGAGGTTCATGGCCGATTGGACGTCAATTTAATGCACAACTAGGGAGCAAAACAGCAAATGCCAGAAATAATGTAGATCGGAGATTCAAAACAGGGCTGTTAATAAATTAAAAATGAATCAAAATGATATGCCAGTTGGTAATTTACTCGCCTTCAAGCAATCAGTGTACTGTATGAATTTCTTCTCTCAGACGAATACAATCTGAGTTTTATTAATAAACACCCTCCCTGACGCTTCCGAGCTTTGTAAGGGCAGTGAATTGCAACAATTAGAATGAAACAAAAAAGTGCATCCCTCCATTATAAAAGTGCTCCACACGGCTCTGAGAGGTTAATAAAGGCCTTCTGAAGCAAAGCGATGAGTTTGTGTAAGGAAATATTCATATTTAAAACTTTAACTAGTTTACGGCCAAATGAGATGTGACTTGGACTTTTAAGGATTAGTTCACTTCAAAATGAAAATTTCCTGATAATTTACTCACCCCAGTGCCATCCAAGATGTTCATGTCTTTCTTTCTTCAGTGGAAAAGAAATTATTTTTTTTGAGGAAACATTTCAGGATTTTTCTCTACCCAATGGACTTCAGTTGCAACCAATGTTTTGAAGTCCAAATCAATGCAGTTTCAAACGGCTCTGCACGTTCCCTGAGGAATAGGGTCTTATCTAGCGAAACGGTCTGTAATAAAACAAACAAACAACCACACATTTATACACTTTTTAACCACAATTGTTTGTCTTGGGCTGGTCGGCAACGCGCCAGGGATTACGTCATCACATTGGAAACGTCACGCGTCACGTCATCTATCTAAGTTATTTGTCTGTGTACTCCATTAAAAAAGGAGGGAAGGGCGAAAAATTCCATCTCATTTTCTTTTTTTTTCTCCAACTTCAAAATCGTCCGACAACTTTGTTTTAATTTATTATTATTATTTAAAAGTGACGTTTCCAACGTGATGACGTAATCCCTGGCGCTTTAGAGCAGGAAGGATTCTGATTGGCTGTCAATGTTTTTATCATTCATCAGCTAAAAAAAAGTGCCGTTATCGTTAGTTGGTGAGGACTCTGCTATTCTATATTTAGAAAGATTTTTAACTTTATTATAATTTTTTTAGAACTGTTATCATTATAGTTATCGTCCTTAATGTTAACGTGCCTTTACAGTTTGTTGCAAGACAAGCTAAAATGTCTGGCATCATAATGCGTTTCTATTGGCACTTTTCCACTGCTCTTACGGCTCAGTACGGTTCGGCGCGGCACGGTTCGGCTCACTTTGCTTTTCCACTGCGTGGTACGACTCGGCACAGCTCGCTTCGCTTTAGCTCGGTTTGCTTTTCCACTGCAGTTAGTAACGCTTCAAAGTGGGTGGGATTATAGTCCGAGTGGCGTTATAGTTTATCCGCTCCTCGGCAACCAACGAGAGGAAGGTCTACACTTTGTCCACTGACCACGATTCAGCCATTTCTGTTTTGTCAGTTTTCTTTCTTTCTCTTTTTCTTCAAGCAGGTCAAGCAAGTAGTTTTAAAACAGGCGCTACAGCGGTGATTGTTACTGGCTATTTAAATCTAGCGGGTTTGATGTATCGCAAATACAATGACGCTGGTAGTGACGATTCTGTCTGACCAATCAGTGGTCTGCAGTGTGTTCACATCACATTTTAGTATTGTTATGGTACGCTTGGAACCTCGACAGAGGTGGTACCATTTAAAGCGAGCCGTACCGTACCGTACCATGCAGTGGAAAATGCCCAAACGTGCCATACTTTACCGTGGCGTACCGTACCATGCAATGGAAAAGCACCTTAAGTAGCCTAGTATGAAATGCAGTCAAATCTTGGTTTTCTTAAATGGAGCAGAAAATCAGTCTGTCAATAAAAAGCCTCTTGCCGAGGAAAGTATTGAGTTTTGATATGATTGTTGGTCGAGTTGAGCTTTTGTGCCAAAATAAACCCTTTGGTTCTGGAGATAGCTTTGGAAATCACTTTCTAGGTCGACAGCATTTTATACACTTATAAACTGCAATTACAAGGGAAAAAAGAGCCAGGATCAGGCTTTTTGACGTTATCTGCACAGAGACAATTTTCCATTGTGCAAACCTGTAATATAGACCACAAGATAGAGCAGTTCATCCCACAATGTGAGGTGAGAGAAAAGAGGGATCAAAACAGATAAAACACATTTTCCTGCAACCCAAGCAAAAAGGAACAAAGCATTGTTTGGCTGTTGTAGCATTGGTCTGTTCCTCACACAAAGCTATTCATTTAACGTATATATAGTACATGAGTTGTATAGGTGACTGTTATGGTGCTTTTGTGCCCTTTTTGAAGCTTGAAAGCTTCAAACTTCATTTATTATCTTTTCATCAGATTTTTTGTGTTCCACTGAAGAAAGAAAGTCCTTCGGGTCTGGGACAACACGAGGCTGAGTAAATGATGAGCTATTCCTTTAGGTTTATTGATTCAGCCACAGAGAACATCCCATTTTATCTCTCGGCTTGACATAATCAGAGCGAACGCCACTAAGATTGAAGAGTCCCTCAAATGAATAACCATCTCTGTTTACATGGAGGAGGTGTTAGGTGTTATGTGGGGAATGCAAAGTGATGGGACACACACCTATGTATACTTGGGTTTGTGTTAGTGGGAAATGTTTGATAAACTGCACTGTAAAAATGAGCTTTATCTAATCAAGAAAATGGGGCAACAGATTACAAGCAATATTTTTAATCAATTTAACAAATTAGAATTGAGTAATAATTATTCAAATTAAGTAAACAATTAAAAATTAGTAAAACTTACATTTAAGTCGATCTGTGTTTGTTTTAGGTTTCTCCTTCAGTGATCCTGCTTGTTAACATCAGGTGTCTTCAATGTTGGCAATATAAAATAAAGAGTTCCTAATCTTTAACGCCTGTCTGTTATTCAGATATTTTTGTTTAATGTTTTGTTTAATGTTTACTCATTTTAAATGGTTAACTTTTAAGGAATAATTTGATTAGTTATTACTCAATTTTAATTTGTTCAATTGAATTAATAGTATTGCTTGTAATCTTTTGCCACAATTTTATTGATTAGATAAAGCGTATTAATTTTTACAGTGTGATGCAATGTGTGCTAGACTGAAGAATGAAATTCCTTTTGTAGTGTAATGTAACATATTGCCATTTTCTGTAAACTAATTCAACACGTGACATGACACTCCGCAGTTTAATTTTCACATTTTATAAAAATAAACAATGCACGATCCATTCAATGCGATGTGCTTGTTTGCCGTCTTACTAGCTAAGACATTGTTGTCCACACAGTGCTTTTTATCTATATTTAAAAGATTGTTCTTAGGCTATGAGAACCATTTCAATCTTTTATTAATTAAGCAAGTATTTTAAAGTCAGTTTCTTTTCCCTTTTCTTCTTTCCCTCTCAGGGTTCCTTGGGGCATGTTTTTGTCTGGCATTAAAACAACCATGCTGAGATCCTCAGACAGCTTCCACATTAGAAAAATAAAAAAGACTGTGAGCAACCCAGATTGTGTTGCTGGGGAACTGCGTAAATCAACTTTTCACTGACCGTGCAGTGATGATTCAAAGGTTTGCTGGCAACCTTTTGTTCAGCAATGTGGTTGTAGTCATATTTTTCTGGTGGATGTTGATGCTGAATGTCTGATTTTCAGGGTCTGATTCAGAATAAAAGCAAATAGACCTTATAGCATATAGAGCATCTGATTAAAAGTTGCTAAGCAGCCGTGTTCAAACTAGTTTAAAGGGATAGTTCACTTTGAAATACATTTTTGGTATGTTTTAGCTTACCTCAAGGGCGTCCAAGATGTAGGTGTCTTTGTTTCCACAGTATTTTCAATTTTAATATTTTCAGGTCAAACCGTTCTTGTCTGTCAGTCATATAGTGGAGGTCTATGGTCACCGCCTCAAAGAGCATGCACAGAGAATTCCAAATTAAACATGATTTAATGACTCGTAAATGTAACACATTGATGGCCTAAGACACGAAACGAGCGGGTTTTTTTTTTGTGAGAAAACGTATTTATATTGTTTTTACCTCTTGTTACCACAAAGCGCACCCTCAGATCACTTGGACGTGGCTGTGTTTACAAGAGGTAAAAACTATATAAATACGGTTCATTTTCTGCATATGACTGACAGACAAGAACGGTTTGACCTAAAAATATCAAAATTGAAAATACTGTGAAAACAAAGACACCCTGTATCTTGGATGTCCTTGAGGTAAGCTAAAACATACCAAAAATTGAATTCAAAGTGAACTATCCCTTTAATGCATATTTTAGGTCAGGGGTGCTGAGTGCTGCACCTGGAGATCTACTTTCCTGAAGTTCAAACACACCTGAACCAAACAAGTCGACTTTAAAAATTACGAACAGATGTGTTGGAGAAGTTTAAATTCATCCAAGCCTCCAATGTAGAGTGATGGCGTATTTTTGTAGGCCAACCGGTAAGTTAGCAGTTTCCCTCAACAAAAACCCAGTAGGATTTTCTCATTGACTCTTGTGTAATTGGCTCTTGTGACCAACAAACGTTTATGATTGTTACCGTACATGTTTTGTTACTCAGGATAATTTCCACGAATCTTCACAAAAAGCCTAAATTCAATCTGTCCATCGTATAAAGCAATTGTGTTTCTTCTTAATTCAAATAGATTAGTTGTATGATCTCTTTTGAAGCGTTTAAGTGGTAGTTGCGTAGCTGTCAATGGAAGGATAGAAAGCTCTCAGATTTCCTCAAGGAAATCTTCATTTGTGTTCTGAAGATGAATAAAAGTCTTACGGGTTTAGAACAACATGAGGGCGAGTAATTAATGACAGAATTATTTTATTTTTGGGTGAACTATCCCTTTAAAGGAACGTGTCTATTTTACATTCAGTGATAAAGCAGTCAAATTATTGTTACATTTCTCATGGCAGCATATGAAATTACTCTCCAGCTACGGTTGAATCGCAGACTGCAGGAATCCAAATGATCTCTGGGAGTGGGTGTTACAGGAGAGATGTGACAAGTAAATTGGTGTGTCTAAATTGCAGCACTGGGTCATTTAAACAACCTCAAATTATGAAAATCAGCCCTGTTCCCACACACAGATTGTATCTTTTTGTCAAGCACAGAGAACAAAGTGTTTGAGGTGCCGAGTAGAAGAAACTCGCTGTAATTAGAGTCTGTCACAGACGATATCTCACACACTGAACTGTCAGCAATCCTCGTCCATTAGGAGTTTCTCTTCCTTCTGGATATACTGTGTGTAAACTTTGCTGTAACACAGAGAAACTATTTGATATTTGATTATTTAATTCTGAGAGGCTGTCATATTACTTGATCATCCTAATAGTTTTCTCTTGGATAATTGTTAAACTCTGTTCAGCAGGTTTTCCAAACCCTCAGAAGCTCATAGTGAAACTGCAGAGGATTCGTAAAATTTTGCAGTTCTGGTATGTAACATTTACTTTTTCACAATCCAGCTGATTTCCATGCACCGGATAAAATCAAATCTCGCACTACATGCATTTTTACTCCGATTTCTCTCCTAAATATCAAGTTTTCCTGATAAATATATCTGATTATGAAATCTAAATGGGTTGTGAATAGCAAAAAACATGTTCGACTTTGAAACTTTACAAAGCTTTTGGTTCAAATAAATGCTTTGAAGGCCTTATCAAACTGACCAAATCCCATGATTTCAGCAAACGAGGATTTGTCATACGACTTCAAAACAGTAATAAATATCAGTGGTTGATGATAGTTCAATAAAGTAGAATTTCTTTAAACTCTTTCTTACATGATTGATGTCCTCAGTTTGCGTTTCGAGTGCTTTTCAAAACTATTTTGATTAAAAGTTTTGAAAAGCATTGCTCAAAGCACTTCATTTTAACTTTTATTTTATTTTTTTTGTTTTTTAAATTGTGAAGATGTTCAATAATATTTAATAAAAGGATTTGATTTAATTGTCATATTTCCGAACTCTAGAACTAAAAAATATGTAATATGCTGTGGTGTTATTTCATTAGTTGACAATTGGGTTTAATCATGTGTAAACCAACAAAATAATCACCGAAACTCAGTTTTTAAATCTGTCATTGACCGTATAAACATAACTAAGAAGAATATAAACCCATGTTAAGCGATTGGCGCACAACTCCTCTAATCAATTCAATGGACTGCTTTCAAGGATTATAGATGGATCAGTGGCCAAAAGAGCCATTTAATCTTTTATTCATCAGTGTTTGTTGAGCCCCTCAATTAATCATTATGCAATGCCACATTGTCAAGACTGTCTAACAGGCTTTAAATAATCATCCATTCTTGTATCTTTGAAGTGAAACTCCAGCTACTTACATGCTAAAAAATTGCCAGCACATGCAGTAAGCTATAAAGCTATGAAATTATTGTGAATAGATTATTTGGTCTTGAACATAGACTAGTTGATGCGATATATTTAAGTTTATGTTCACTCTCAGAAAAAAAGGTACAAAAGCCGTCACTAGGGCTGTACCTTTTTAAAAGGGAAAACTTTTGTCCATTTTAGGTACTAATATGTATATTTTAGGTACTAATATGGACATTTAGGACCTAATATGTACATTTTAGGAGCTAATATGTACATTCTAGGTGCTAATATGGACATTTTAGGTGCTATTATGTACATTTTAGGATCTAATATGGACATTTTAGGTGCTTTAATGTACATTTCAGGTGCTAGTATTACATTTTAGGTCCTAATATGGACATTTTAGGTGCTATTATGTACATTTTAGGAGCTAATATGGACATTTTAGGTGCTATTATGTACATTTTAGGTGCTAGTATTACATTTTAGGTGCTAATATGGACATTTTAGGTGCTATTATGTATATTTCAGGTGCTAATATGTACATTTTAGCAGCTAATATGGACATTTAGGTGCTATTATGTATACATTTTAGGTGCTATTACTGTATGTACATTTTAGGTACCAATATGCACCCTTTAGGTACTTTTGAAAAGGTACAGCCCCAGTGAGAGCTTTTGTACCTTTTTCTCTGAGAGTGTTGAAATCTCGGACTTTTGATTGGAGACTTTGTATTTTGAAACACTGTACAGATATTTTCTCTTTTTTATGAGGCTTTGTCCACATGTATACTATTATTTTTGAAAACAGCTTTTAACAGTAAAAACGCTTGTCGAAACACCCAATATTTGAAACTATTTCCAATTAAAAAATAATTAACTTGTTTAAATGAATCACAGAAAGCAGAAATCTTTTATTTTTTAAAAAAGAAAGTTTTCAGAAACCTCATTCAGTGATCTAAAATTGTATTTACACGTGAATGGGAGGCCAAAACTCAAGAGAGAACATTTTCAGAATAATTCATATTCTTATGGATGGGAAGTGAGACACATATGAGATTACTGGGGTCATTTTTGTCAGGATAAAACTTATGCAACTGTCTCTGCTTGCTCTTTTTTTCCTGTCTAGGAAAAACAAGTGAGATTTTAAAGAGATGTGATTTCTCTTTCCTATGAAACTCTCATTACTCACTGCTTATTACAGATTCTCAGCTAATATTAGAGTCTCAGTGCAGTGCGGCCCCAGAGACTCCCTCAGGCTTAGAGATCATTTCCTCCTTGTTTTAGGAATGACTCCGACATAACCTCCTGATTCCCATCAGCCCCGTGTCCGGCAGCATTCCATCACTCTTCGACGGCATCGATCTGGCCGTCTCTCTTGTCAGCCTCATCACTGCACCTGCGGATGACTGCGAGTGTCGTGGGTCGACATATAGGCAGAATGCATTTCACCTTTGGTTCCAGAGCCCTTGGCTTTTCTGTCTGGTAAGTGGCCATTAAGGGGAATAGATCTGTTTGCTTCCATTATAACACTCGGAAATGCTCACCTGGTAGACAATCATGTCTGACCTTGAGTATAAAAGTTTGTGATGTTCTTTAACCATATAAGTTGTTTGCCAGCAAAAAACATCATAAATTAGATTAAATTGCAATCATTGTGGCGATGAATTTTGCCCAAGAAAACATGTTTTAAAAAAATAATATTCCAACGCTATCTCATCCCCAATTCGTATGAATTCATACGAGTGGGTAAAAGGTGGCTAATCCGTACAAATTCTAATTCCAAAAGATGAATCTAGAACAATCAAACTGATCTCACGACAATACAAATTTTACGAGGTGGCTAATTCGTAGCCTACTGTAAGGCCTGCCCAATCGATCCAACGACAGTTTCCGATAAGCAGGTGAAGGTCTCTGCGTGTTACTGTCTTTTCCGCCGCGTTGCCAACTTAGCGCCTTTGTCGCGACTTTTCAGACATCTTTAGCGTCATTTTTTTCAAAAAAGCGGCTAGCGACAATTTTAGCGACTTTTTGGACAAACCTCAGTAAACCTCCAAATGTTGCCAGTACTGTCCTATTATATAGCTATTATATTAATAGAGCATTAATTTAAAGAGAAAACGCACTAGGACGCGATAACGTCAATAATATGCTACTTAGTGGATGACATCATCTAGCGACTTTTAGGGAAGGCCATAGCTACTTTCTTTAGAAGTCCTATTATATAGCTATTATATTAATAGAGCATTAATTTAGAGAGCAAACGCACTAGGACGCAAGTACAACGCGATAACGTCAATAATATGCTAATTAGCGGATGACGTCATCTAGCGACTTTTTGGGAAGGCCATAGCTACTTTCCTTAGAAAATAGTTGGCAACAGTTCCGCGTAATTTTATTCTAATTAAGCTTACAAGGAAATTTGTTGTGTTATACAATAGCTTTCATCAGTTGTCATCCATCTGATTGACAGTCTTCTTATTGAAGCTCTGATGTGTAGTGTCAGCTTTACCGTTTCTGGCTAATTTTTAAAAAAAGACTGTGAGGGTGAAACTCAGTATCTATGACACCTCTTTTAGATTCAACCTGCTGTTATATTGGATGCATATTGTTGCATATTGCCAGAAAATGCTGACTGGGACCTTTTGAAACAATTTACCCATTTTTGCTAAGTGTATAGGACTGTCTAATCATATAATGGCCCAAAACAGATTGGATAAGCAATAACCGCAGAGAAAAATGAACATTCACTGCAATAAACAGAAAAAACTGGTTGCCGAAGCACCTTTATGGATGCCGGTGAAATACAGGAGACGTGGTTATTTCAGCTCTGCCCTGTAATGAAGCTATAAAATTGGAAATATCTCCTGCTTTTTTGTACATCAGCTATAAAATACTGATGAAAAGCACCTTTTAACTGTATACAGAGGAAAAATGATTCAGCTCAGTGAGCATTCAACTGACCAGACGTAGCGCACTTCAAAGCTGAAACGATGTGTCAGCTGTGACCTACGGTGAAATTTCAGCGAGTGGGTGAAATAAAGCGACGGTGACCTGCTTTTCTGCATCTCCCTTTAAAGACTTCTAAGTGCATCTGTCCTCAAGACTTAAGTGCAGACGAAGACGATGAACAATGTGGAATTCATCACCGTTTCGACCTTTTGTTATGAAACACTGAAAACACTGTAGGATGTGAGTCAGGGGACGAGATGGAGAATGTTAATTACGAACCATTAAGTCTTCTACCAGGCTACTTCAGCAGTGCATTGCAATGAAACATTATTTATGTCTAAGTGATATCCCATTTTCTCCGTTCACCCACTCAGTTCCGGTCTCGTCTTTATGGGGAGGGAGCCAAGCTGATTTATCTGTGCAGGTCTCTGAGGAACTATAGAAACTAGAGCACTTTAATCAAAACTCCTAACATAGTGTGCCGTCAAAGGAGACAAGACTCTTTTCTGTCTGAAAGGACTTTGCCCACTGCAATATGTTCGCATGCACAGTGTAATTTTGATATCAATCAGAATTTACTTATTATTAGAATTGTAGATATGTTAATGCTCGGCCATAACCTGATTAAAACCAACATTTTGTCAAAGCATATACATGCAGTGGTTGAAGCTGCAGACGAGCTAAAAAGGCTTATGATTGTGTCTCAAATGGGTGCATGATTGTGACAAGGACATTTAATTCATTTAGTGTTCCACTAAAGTCAAAAGGTTTTAACGCATGTCCGAGGACTCTCAGGTAAGCTGTTCAATGTGCCAGACCTGTTAAGTAGAGCTATTTATCTCAATTGAGCTTCTCTGCGTGCTGAAGGTGAAAAATAGATGGCGTCATTTTCAAATGTGTTTTTCTAACACTAAGTGGCTGGGTACATCTGAAACTGGTAGAGCAATCATTGCATCATTCGTTGTGAGCAAAGAGTTAGAGTGTTATACTCAGCTTTGACTGATGGGACTCATTAGCTGTAGACTGTGAGTGTTGCATTTACCTGGTATGAAATTTAGTTGGAAAGCTGCTCTTCTGCTCAAATATTACATTATATTTGCCTTTTAAAACCATTGCCTTAAAGGGATAATTCAACCATTTCATGTCATTCCAAACCTAGAAGTACTGAAAATGGGATCAGTCTGATTCAGAATGAATTGATTCATCGATTTGTTTTGAACTATTTTGGTCAATTTTGCGATTTAACTATTGAAATGCCGGTCTGTTTCTCACACAATGCTAGCGTATGGTTTCAGAAGATAACTGTGCAAGTTGTTTTAATTTTCTGTAGCCCTCAATCGGGTCATGGGGTCTATACGACCCCAATCGACTTTTACTTAAAGGGTTAGTTCACCCAAAAATGAAAATTAAGTCATTAATTACTCACCCCCATGCTGTACCAACCCCGTAAGACCTTCGTTCGCCTTCGGAACACAAATGAAGATATTTTTGATTAAATTTGAGAGCTGTATAACTACCACATTGGCTCCTAAGGGACTGCCTCTTGACGGCCCAAAAAGTCAATGAAGAAAATGTTTAAATATCCCAAGTGACTACCGTGGCTCAACTATATGTTTATCAAGCGACGCGAATACTTTTTGTGCGAAAAAACAAACAAAAATAACGAGTTTATGATTTCTTTTCTTCCTTGTAGGCCAGAACGAGACTTCCTTAGATTTCCACGACGCATGCGCGAGAATTGCGATCTGCTTACACCAGCTTACACTACTTCAGATCGCAATTCTCGCGCATGCGTCGTGGAAATCTAAGGAAGTCTTTTTTTTCCTATTTTTATTTTGTGACTTTTCATACATTATCTATCTATACACACAAAAAACTGGGCTTGATTCGATTGTTCTGAAGGTATGTAAAAAAAAAATGTTTACACTTCTGGTCTTCGGGGTCAATATGACCCCACATTGAAATGACTGGGAAATGTGAAAAAAACGAAATATATTTTCTTCATGTGTCAAAAAAAATAATAAAAAAAATCCGGCATAAATCTGAAAATTTTTACACAGAAATAAAGGCCTAGTACTAGAGCATAAATGCAATCTATCATAAAAAAAAAAAATCATATGCTAAAGCTAATGGTGTAGTTGAGGAATTGTGTGGTATATGGATACAAAAGTACTTTATATCTCCAAAAACACAGCATTAATGAATAAATGAGAAGTAAACAAAAAAATTATATATTATTTGTATGAGTAAAAATGTATGTTTTTTGTACAATTACTCAATCAATTGTTGGGGTCGTATAGACCCCGAAGCCCAGAAGTGTAAACAGGAAACGAAGACCATTTGAAGGTTAAAAAATGTATGGTGCTTTTGTGTCCTTTTTGAAGCTTAATATCTAGTTGCATGGAAACAACATGGAAAATTATTTACTCTAAATTTTCTCCTTTGTGTTCTGCAGAAGCAAGAAAGTTATATGGGTTCAGAACAACATGAGGGTAAGTAAATCATATTAATTTTGGGTAAACTATCACTTTATACCCTTTTGGAAAAGAGTAACATACTTTTAAAAAGACTACTTACTGAGAACCCAAGCCAGAGAAGAAAGCAGACACAAGGTTCTTCTGTATTTCTGCCAAAAACAACAGCACATTCTGTATGGATATTATACAACAAAAGACCCCAGATGACTTTATTTTAATGGATGTGGATTAATCGCCCTCTTGTGGTATGCAGTCATAAATCCTCATAGATCTATCTATCTGTCTGTCTATCTATCTATCTATCTATCTATCTATCTATCTATCTATCTATCTATCTATCTATCTATCTATCTATCTATCTATCTATCTATCTATCCTAATTTTTTTATCATCCTCTTTTCTTCTAAAAGTAGATACCAAAGTAAGTAATTGTATTAGATAAATTATGTACAAGCTTTTTCCACAAACATTTGACCACCAAAAAGTTCAAAAACAAGATATCTCTATTATTTTTTCACTTTAAATCTAACAAACGTATTATTGTGAAACATTTTTCTTACTGTAATGTGTTTGGGATATGTATATATATATATATATATATATATAGATATAGATATATATATATACTGTATATATGAAGAGTTCAGATGCAAAAGCCTCTAAATGCCATTTGAAATTTTCTTCTTTAATGATGATTTTTATCAAACTTGTACATTTAAGTTCAGTAATTTCACTTAAATAACTATTAATAGGTAATTATCATTGCCATTTAAGTGAAATCACTGATCTTAAATATACAAGCTTGATAAAAATTATCATTCTAGAAGAAAATTTCAAATGGCACTTAGAGGCTTTTGCATCTGAACTTTTCATATACATTTTATTTGATAATTTTATCTAATGTTGAAGTCATTGTATGTGTGATTTGAGTGTTCAAATGCTAAACTACACTTGATAGTTCTTCGTAAATTTTGTCACAAACTAGACTAGGGAAAAACTGATAAGGCTGGTCTTATTTCAGACACATATCACTGTTTCATGACATGTTTTGTCTATTTGACAACAAAGCCAGCTTCCCCTGAGAGTTGCGATCATGAGACTATTGTTAGTCCGTGCTAAATCCTACAATGTGAAAATCTACACAACAAAAAACATCAGTTTTCCCTTTGAGATGCTCCTTGTACGAGACTATGACTGAATATGTCATGCGATAGGTTTTCAAAGTTCACAAGTGATGTGCTCAAGTTTTGGATCCCACAATAGAGGCATCTCTTTATGTAATCCTTAAGGCTGGAGCCCCATTTCCATAACTGGATGAAGGACACTCCCTTAAGCTGAAGGTTGTGTAATGTGAGATTTGTCAAAGTAGGGTGTGCAGTATTTATGGTGTGCTGATATGGCCTCAGATGACCTATCAGGTGTAGTTTAATATGTCCAGATTTCAGCCACTCCTCCACTCCCTGGAATCACTTTCATGCCTGCCTGAAAGAATAACCATTCATGAGGTAAACACCAACACAAGAGAACAGATGATAGGGAACAGATTGAACACTAAAGGTAGACTATTAGAACTAGAACTTCTATAGAAGAAAAAAAATCAATGATGAGATCTGTTAAATATAACTCTATACTTTTGCTCGAATCTTGGGCTTCTGGGTTTGTGTGTGTGTATGTGCAGTGTTGCTCAAAAGTTTACACACCCCTTGCAGAATCTGGAAAAATGTGAATAAGTCTAACAAATTACAAGGGATCATACAAAATGTGTTTTTTTTTTTAGATTTTTGACATAAAAATATGCCCTACCCTAACCCTAACCCATAGCCTATAGTCCACAAGATAAATTAAATAAAAAAAAAAAACGCATTTTTTTATCCCTCTTATTTTGTGAACATTATACAGTTTAGTGGTAACAAGGCATGATGGATCCATGTTCTCATTCTGTTTACTCCAAATTCTGACTCTATCATCTGAATGTCTCAACAGAAATCGAGACTCATCAGACTAGGCAACATTTTTCCAGTGTTCAACTGTCCAATTTTGGTGAGCTATTGCAAATTGTAGCCTCTTTTTATTATTTTTTTATTATTTGCTGTTGTAGCCCATCCGCCTCAAGGTTGAGCATGTTGTGGCTTTGTAACGAGTGGTTATTTCAGTCAAAGTTGCTCTTCTATCAGCTTGAATCAGTCGGCCCATTCTCCTCTGACCTCTAGCATCAACAAGGCATTTTCACCCACAGGACTGCCGCATACTGGATGTTTTTCCCTTTTCACACACCATTCTTTGTAAACCCTAGAAATGGTTGTGTGTGAAAATCCCAGAAACTGGGCAGATTGTGAAATACTCAGACCGGCCCGTCTGGCACCAACAATCATGCCACTCTCAAAATTGCCTAAATCATCTTTCTTTCCCATTCTGACATTCAGTTTGGAGTTCAGGAGATTGTCTTGACCAGGACCACATCCCTAAATGCATTGAAGCAACTGCCATGTGATTGGTTGATTAGGTAATTAAGAAATTGAACAGGTGTTCCTAATAATCCTTTAGGTGAGTGTATATATATGCCACTGTATACCATTTTTAAAGAAGATTTTTAATGTACATTTTTAAAGAAGTATCATATGCTTACAAAGGTTGCATTTATTTGATAAAAAATACAGTAAAAATAGTCATTGTGAAATATCATAACAATTTAAACACAATACAATACAATTTTGTAGGCACTCACAAAATGCGTCTTAAAATATGAAACGGGTTTGATTATTGTCCAGATGAAAGTCTGTTTGCATTGATATTAATGTTGAATTGATCCTTCTCACAGTATCATACCATACTTTTCTTTTTGTATATATATATATTTTTTTTTTTTGTGGAAATATTCCTTTTTAATATACCTATTTTTAGTTTTTTAAAGACGTTTGCAGAGAAGCAGCATTATGGCACATATAAGGAACAGTTTGCACAAACTACCATTAAAAAAAGCCTAACTGTTGAGGAACAGATGTGCTGTTTCAGAACAGCAGTGTACTCATCTAAAAAACAAAGTTGTCTAACTTTTCAAATAGAAATAGCAACATTATTCATGTCCAAGTTGGCATGTTTCGAGGCTGTTTCAAGCTCGATTAGGGGAGTGCTGGGGTAACACTGCAGTCTAATACTTGAGGCACCTTCCATAAAAGCCAAATATAGTTCCATCGATCCATTGGCGAAACCTCGAGACGGACGTGTAGACGCCAGGGTACTGGGCATCACCACAGCCATTCCCCCAGGAGACGATGCCGTACACGCGGCCCTCGCACACCAGCGGCCCTCCAGAGTCCCCCTGCAGAAAAGACAAGAATATTAATATGATTTTGGACAGAGAGGTCAGATGGTGTGCGAGTAGAGTGAAAGTGGTTAAAACAGAACTAGAAGGTGAAACTCAGCGATGTGAGACACGTATTGCCTTTGAATTGCCCCGTAAATTTAATTACGTTTCTTGTTGTTTCAGTGTCATTGGTTGAACTTGACACATTGTAAAGCCAGCAAATTTCTCCTTTTTAGCAAGAAACAATGGACGGGACTTGAATTATATCCATCAGACATTGATTTGGATCACAGTATAAAAAGTACCAGGTACTTTTAATGAAACTGTTTGAGATCCAATTAACGCTAGATTTTTATATATATATATAAATTACACGCATGTCATCTGAGGACTATTTCTAATTGTTCTCGGTTATTTTGCTTTATTACCAAACCCAATATTTGGCTCGTTCTTGCATAGTAGAGCACGTTCGCACATGTGCACTCTTCAAAATCGGTACTTTAAATCTTTTGAAAAACTAAAAGACGTAAAATACATTTGCGTGGCAATCTAACACCGCTTGTATTGAATGTCAGCTTGCTTATTTTGCTCAAGATAAGGATTTATCACATCCAAATGTCATGCAATAAAGAAACTATGCCTCTAACCACAGGTCGAGAGCTGTCGTTCAAACCACACAACTTTGCGTTGCTGTTTGCAAATGTTCATTGGAACGATGGTTTCGCAAACCGATTTGTTGAAATAAGCTGATAACGACAGAACTTGTGACCATATTGGCTTTGGGGAAACGCACCCCAGATAAAATTTCAAGCTTTGCTTTATTTAATATTTTGTTAAATTGCACACTAGCTGATTAGAAAGTAGCTATCTGATTCTGATGAGCTCCATTTAACGTTTTTCTGTTTTTTGCATCTTCCAACTGAAGTAAGGGGCAACACATTTTAACTTTAATTAGACCCAGTCAGTTAGAGTAGTGCAATTAAATTCATAAATGGTTTTATAATTGGCAAAAACTGTGATATCCAAATAATGACTGAATATAAGATGCCCCTGTTCCTGACAACAAAGTTAACATCCACTAAAATGTTTCTAATAGTTAGTGGTTTATTCCAAATACCTTTTAAATTCACTACCACATATTCATAAATTCCAGATTTCCAAAGACATTTAAGGTCAAAGTTCAGTGCGTGAAAACTATGCCATCCACATTAAGTTTAGTGCATGTGAAGTAATCGTTTGTCTCACCTTACACGCGTCTTTTCCTCCTGCGCTGTATCCCGCACAGATCATATTCTCCGTGATGTTTCCATTAAAAGAGTCTGTGCTGTTACACACTGCGGTGGACACTATGGGCAGCTTCACCGTCTGCAGCGTTGCAGGGATTCCTCCCCCCGGAGTGGTGAAGCCCCAGCCGGACACCCTGCACACGCGACCCACGGACACCTGGGCGTCCTGCCGAGGCAGCGGCGATAGAGACACGTAGCTGTTCAGGTAGACGGGAGACTGCAGCTACAGGTGAGGAAAAGAAATCATTAATAGGATCCATAAAGCATACAATACCATGCAAGTAAATGTTTTCATTGGTGTCATGTCCACCACATCTCAAATCGTGTTTAATAGCATTATGTGATGGAGATGGCATCTGAACTTTTTGTCTAAGGCTAATTTCATAGCTAGCTTATTTTTTAAATGTAAAGGTATTGTTCACACAAAAATGAAATGATCCCATGATTTACTCACCCGCCTCAAGCCATCCTAGGTGTATATGACATTCTTCTTTCAGACTATCACAATCAGAGTTATATTAAAAAAAAATATCCTGGCTCTTCCAAGCTTTATAATGGGAGTGAATGGTGCCTTGTTTTTTGAATCCCAAAAAAGCGCATCCATCCATCGTAAGCGCATTAATAAAAGAGTTGTGTTCCAGCGTATCAAGGTCAAGGTCAAGGTAGTCAGTGATTATAGTTTATAAGTTATAAATGGATATTTGTTTTCTGTTTTCGGGCCTTTATTAACCTTCTAAGGTCGTATGGATTACTTTTATGATGGATGGATGTACTTTTTTGGGCTTAAAAGCCTGAAAGAAGAAAGTATTACACAACTACTGTAGGATGGCTTGAGAGGGTGAGTAAATTATGGGATCTTTTTCATTTTGGGGTGAACTAAACTTTTAATTAAATATTATTTAGATACTTTTTGCATAATTTGACAAAAATTGGGTTTTTGGTAATTAAACCGTCACAGAGAGAGAGAGAGAGGCTGCACAGACTCAGGTAATTCACACACGTATCTCTCAGTTCTCTCTCTCACTCTCTCTCTCTCTCTCGATAATACATTAAAATAAATGATATAATTTGTTCATTTAATGTAATCAAATTCAAATGTAATCTTACGCACTACTTTTTCTTTGTTTCTGATTTAAAGGGATATATCACCCAAAAATGAAAATTATCCTATGATTTACTCACCTTCAAGCCAGGTGTATAAAATTCTTCTGTCAGACAAATACAATCTAAGTTATATTAAAAGTGCTAATCAACAAAATGCTCCACACGGCTCCTGGGGGTTAATATAGGCCCTCTGAAGCGACGCGATGCGTTTTTGTAAGAAAAATATTCATATTTAAAACTTTATAAATTAAAATAACTAGCTTCCGACCAAACGAACATAAGGATTCCACTTAATTCTCAAGAGCAACTTATGCGAGTAATGTGACGCTACGCCATGACGCACTACACTACTTTCGACGTCACAAGTTGCATAAGTTGAGCTTTAGGAATAAGTGGAATCCATATTTTCGTTTGGCCGTAAGCTAGTTATTATACTTTATAAAGTTTTCAATTTGGATATTTTTCACCCCTTCGCTTCAGAAGGCCTTTATTAACCCCCAGAGCCGTGTGCATCCACTTTTATCATGGATAGAAGCAATTTAATCATGGAGAGATTCACTTTTATCATGGATAGATGCACTTTTATGGGCTTCTAAACAGAAAAAGCCATTCACTGCCATTATAAAGCTTGGAACGATTGTATTGGTCTGAAAGTAGAGTGTCAGATACGATGACTTGAGGGTGAGTAAATCATGGGCTAATTTTAATTTTTGGGTGAATCCCTTTAAAGAATGCTCTAAGTAAATTAAAATAACCAAAGACCTTAGAACGTTCGTCAGCCAATCAGATTCAAGCATTCGACAGCCCAGTAGTATTAAATCGTTTAATGCACAGCTAGCCATGCATTATCTCTTACTTTTGAATAATAAATAAGATTAATACATGATGTAGAAGTGTTGTTTAATGCTAATTCAAGTTAAAAAAAAAAAGTAGTTTATGTTTTGAAATGAAACCTTATGGTAAAGTATTACCATTTTTACTTGTATACTAAAACTGAAGCATTTATGCTATTGTTAATATACTAAAAATGATATAGTATATTTAATTTAATATAAAAGTATAGAATTTTAATTATAAACCTTTAGATGTGTAAAAAATGCATGGACTAATGTTGCATTACTGATTGCTAAGTGATACAGTGCACTTCATGTAATTGATGCCAGATTGTTGTGTTCATTTTGTATGCATGAAAAGAATCAATGATTCACAGTGAGTCATTTAGTGTAACACAGTAGCATTGATTCACTGCCTCACCTTAATGAGCATGATGTCTGCGTTATTGGTGGCTTTGTTGTACTGTGGGTGAGGTATTAAAACATGAGGCCTGCGAAACTGCTCCGTCCCCTCATATAATCCCACAGAATAATCTCCAGCCACGATTCTCATGTTTGCCTCCCTGGAGACACAAACGAACAATGCTTTTTATCCAACTGAATTAAAATGCATTTTAAATGCATCGTACTGTTAAGCGGAAAGTTAACATCGTTGTACGGGAAACACACCCCAGATAAAGAACATTCAAAAGTAACATTCCCATGATGTTTGAAGAATGATAAATTGGAATGTTCATTAACGTCCGCATAACAAAAAAAAAAGTCATTTTTAGAACATATTTTGGTACACAGCAAAATCCCCAGTGTTAAATTAACACTGAGAGTGTGAATTATATAAACTCTGAGCAGAGTGTTAAATGAACACTGAAGCAGTGTTAAAGTTAACCCTCAGGTGCTCTTTGTTTCAGAGTCACACTTGTTATCTTCAGGGTCAAAAGTGACCGGACACCTAAAAATTAAATTTCCTCCATCCCAGTAAAACCAATGCAATTTATTTTTGTTCTATAATATTTATTCTTTGTAATTTAGTATTTTGAGACAATTTGATTGAATTTATTAATATTTATACAATATTTCTTGTCTATTTTTGCCATGGAAATATATATATATATATATTTTTTTTCTATATATATATATATATATATACTGTATATTTTTTTTCAAAAAATTATTAATGCAGTATTTTAGTTTAATATAGAGTCTAGGCCTTCAGAAAAAAAAAATTGAAGAAAATTAGCACCATCTGGTTACAGTATAGAGAAAAATTTGTGAATTTTTGTGTTTTTGTCAATTTCCCATTCATTTCCTATGGGGGTCATTTTTGACAAAATACCACAAGTGTGACTATTTTTTTAAGACCACTTAGCATGCTCAGATCATGACCTTAATTTTTTTTATGTGTTCACATAAATAATGCCATAAAAGCCACCAAGTTTCGTAACATTCCGATGAAGCGGTGATTTTTAAAAATTCAAAACATACTTTTTGTAATCAAAATTTATTGGTGTGTATGTGTATAAAAGTGTGTTTGTGTGTGTGTGTGTGTGTGTGTGGGTGGATTTGTCACCAAAGGTAACACCATCAGGTGTCTTCAATAATACTCAATCATCACTCATCTCATTAACTAAATTAACTTTCAGTCTTAATTTAACACTGGGGATTTTGCTGTGTACCAATCTACCAAAAGTTAGAGTTTTGGTTCTGTTCTTTGTGCCTTCTAAGTGGCTCCAAATGGAAATACCCACTGACTAAACTCGTATCTCATATTGAAATGCTGGTATGTAACTCATTAGTCCTGTATCCAGTGATGCTCGTCTTACCCTATATTGCAGTGTGCTGCGGTCAGCACCCAGTATTTGTTAATTAAGGTCCCGCCACAAAAGTGCTGGCCCGTAGCACTCTGAATGGACACGATGTACTTGATGGAGTACGGCACTGGGACATATCCGCCCACGATACGGGCCAGGAGCAGATCCTGACCTGTGAAACAAACCAGGACACAACGTGATTTTGTTGACAGCATCTTCAATTTTGGTGACATTAGTCTAGATTTTCCTTTCATACAACACGTGTCGAGACACGTGTGTGCGTAAGAGACGCTCGTAATCTACACCTTTTGTCTCGGAAGGAAAGTGTGTAACTCAAAGTCGATACTTAACAATGCGGAGTAAACAATGATTTTAGATCTGTCCACAGAAGACTATATGTGCGTCACGAATAGATGAAGATGTTAGAAGTCATCTCTGGTATATATATATGTTTCCCTTGGGCATATTGATCACAGTCTAACAATTAGGCAGTTGTATGTGCTGCGGTTCAAGTAATCCTACACAATTTTAGCAGCCATTGACTGGCCGTGTGAAACACATACTCGCTGGATCGAACCTATTATGTATCCTTGACTGAATGACCTCGGAGCTCACGAGGATTGGCAGCAGCTCTTTATGAAGCTCTCAACGTGAGGAAATCCTAAACGTTAAAGAGCACAAAGAGGTCATGTACGTCCATTGTTCGCCGTTTTATGCCGTGAAGTAGCGAAAAACTGTAAACAATGCTGAAGTTCAATGTTTGGGGATTTGAATGACAGCTTTTGGGGATTTAAATGTCTTTGGTATGTTTTTATAATTCAGCGCGCACGGTTTTTTTTGCAGGGATTCCAGCATCGGATGGATTAATTAATCTTTTACGTCCATTCTAAACTTTATAATTGCATTTTAGGGCTTTTTTGTGTTTGAAGTGAAAAACGATTTGCTTTGGATTTCCTTCAGTGAAGATGCACTCAGCGCAGGCTGTCAGGATGAAGGGCCCATCCATCAATGAAACTAAACTTAACTTTGTCTTCATATTTCATTTCTGTAATAAATCATAGCGCTGACAAAACTTAAAACAAAAAGGAAAAAAATGCAAAAAAAGCTACCCAGTATTTAAAGCCTTCAAAAAGATCCATAAAAATATAACTTTTTATGTTGTAGCTCAGTAAACTTAGAGATTTGACTTATATGCCTATATTTCTAATAAGCATAAGTTGACATTTAAAACACAATAAAACTCCAAAAATGTTGTTTTGGATGAAGTTGAGAAGAAAATCTTGAAGAAACTCATATTGACTGTTGGTATCTTGAGTCTAAAAGATTGCAGTGTCATCCATTTTAATTAATTATTTTTGTTTATTTATAGTTGATAACTTGAATAAATGACTGTGATACGCAATCCTTTTAATATTTAATTTAATTTCCAATGTTATAATTAGTGCTGGGCAACGATTAATCACAATTAATCGCATCCAAAGTAAAGGTTTAGATAATACATTTGTGTGTTAGTTTGTATACGTAAATACGCATATGCATGTATATATTTAAGAAATATTTGCATAATGTTTTTTCTTAAATATATACATGCATGTGTGTGTATTTATATACAGGCTACAGAAAAAAAATTATATTATGCACAGTACACGCACAGAAACGTTTATTTTGGATGCGATTAATCAGTGCCCAGCACTAGTATATACTACATTAAAAAACTTGAAGTACATTTTTCATTGGCGTTTTAAAATGAAATTTTCAAAAATCAAAATGATCAGCAAACATCATTATAAGAAGATCCACAGTCTCTTTTCGAAGTGAAACACTTGACTTTGCTCAAGGTACAGTATCCGACCGCTCCACAATGCCGCAGTATACCCTGTTAATGCACTGAAAGGATTGAAGTGTAAATCTTTTACTCACAGCTCACCACGAGGAGCTCCAGGAGGAAACACAGCAGAAGAAGCGGCAGGTTCATACTGATGGAGACGGTAGACACAGAGACAGACACATGCACAGGTGCAGACCAGACTGAGACCAGCTTTGCTTCAGGTACTCTGATTCCACACCTGCATGGGGAAGGATTACAACCCATTCTCGGGTTTCCTAGTTCCCATTTCCGTCTCCATGGTCACAATGTCGTCTGAGAAGGGGAACAATATATAATTGAAGCCAAACCTGCGATCTTTTGTTTTGGGTCTGATTTAGGATCCGTACAATTGGCTACGTCACATGCTAAATGCGTCATAACGCAGATTGAATTCTACGGTTGAAAGAACTGTCAGATTAACTGTACCTTCTGTTGTTACAGTATTTCTTGTATGCGTTTTTGATTTATATTACAAATGCAGAATCGTTTAGTGGCCCCAGGAGGTAGCTAGACACTCGAGTCACGTTTAAAATGATGTCATTGCTTTAAATGTCATACATTTGAGCCATTTATGCAACTTTTCTCTTGCTGTAGATGAGGATTTGTTGAAATTGTGAGAATGATTTCTGATTGGCTAAAAATGGTCAAAATGTAACATTAAAAAAAAAATCTAAACAAGTGTCATCTGATACCAAATGATATATTCTTTTCTGTGCATGTTGTAAATGATATTTTGTTAAAATTGTGAGAAATATTTCCGATAGGCTGAAAATGGTCAAAAAGTCAAAAACAAAAGTTTCATCTGATACCAAATTATATTTTGATAATTTTCCAGGACTAAATTGAGCCATTTTTGCAGTTACTGTTTGTTTTTTTTTTAGTTCTATTCAATTTGTAGATGATGTTTTGTTAAAATTGCTAGAATCATTTCCTAATTGATCATTTGCCCGAACTAAATTTAGACTTTTTTTTAACTGATTAATTTTTATTATTATTATTATTATTTATTTTATTTTATGTTATTTTATTTATTATTTATTTATGTTATTTATGTATTATTTTTACTTTACTTTATTTTATATTTCTTTCTATTCTTTTCTATTCAATCAAGTTGTAGACAAGGTTTTGTTAAAATTGCGTGAATCATTTCCGATAGGCTGAAAATTGTCAAAATGTCACAAAATCAAAACAAGTGTGATCTGATACCAAATGATAATTTGATCATTTTCAGGAACTAATTCCTGATTAATTTTTTGGGGGGAATTTTTTTCATTGGTTATTTGATTTTAAAGTAGAACATTAGTAAAACATTTTATATATATATATATATATATATATATATATATATATGAAGAGTTCAGATGCAAAAGCCTCTAAGTGCCATTTGAAATTTTCTTCTAGAATGATCATTTTTATCAAGCTTGTATATTTAAGTTCAGTGATTTCACTTAAATGGCAATGATAATTACCTATTAATTGTTATTTAAGTGAAATTACTGAACTTAAATATACAATTTTGATAAAAATCATCATTAAAGAAGAAAATTTCAAACGGCATTTAGAGGCTTTTGCATCTGAACTCTTCATATATATAATTATTTTTATACATAAAATATATTTCTATATTTTATACTTTATATAATATATATTTGACCCATTAGACCAGCAGAAAAGAACCCCTAATAAGCGCTTCTGCTGGGGAATTGTGGGACTGCCCCAGATCTGGAGAACGGATCATTAAAAATGAAGGTGCGGGTGAAATAGTCCTCATCTTGTTCTCGGTGTGATCTCTGGCCAGTGTTAGCTAATGATGTCTTCTGAATCTGACACAGCACAATCTACATCTCACTTATTGTGTCTGTCTCTCGCCTCCTTCCCCCGGGTGCTGACCGCTCACATTCTTACGCCTGATCTCTTGTTCTGCTCTGTTAGTGCGACCACAACAGACCTATTAGCCCTCTTCCTCACCCTCCTCATCATCATGACATGTGTGTTAGATTCACTGCTCAGAACACTTCAGGATCTTGTCACGGTTTAATAGAGAGTTTGTGGACCGTTCAGTTGTCAGAGGACTATTAATCTTCGGCTTGCCCTTTATTAATATCTGACCTCTTAAATGGGATCATCCAGACATACTGTGACCATAACTAGGGTGGCAGTGATGTCACAGCTCGGCTGAGATCTCCACGTGGTGGGAGTGTTGGCAAGATCAATAAAACTATTTTATTTTATAGATTCCATAGTTGTGTTAGACATATAATAAAAGTTTATTGTCTTTTTAGCAATTTTGGAAAGAATGAATCATGTAGAATAGCAAACATGAATGGAGTGAATCTGTAGATGGCCAGTTGTATTTATTTAATTTATTATTTAATTTATTTAACTTGCAAAATTATTCCAAAAAGATAATATTCTACATCATTTCCAATTTTACTTCTATTCTAGTTCTATTCATTTTCCAAATGATTTCAAACCATAAAATTCTACATAATTATGTGGAATAACTTTAAATGACGTACACTGGAATTATCAAACTACAGCTGATGACCTATTTTAGTTTAGTTTAGTTTAGTTTAGTTTAGTTTAGTTTAGTTTAGTTTAGTTTAGTTTAGTTGTAGATGAGGGTTTGTTAAAATTGCAAGAATCATTTCCAATTTTATTTCTATAAGTTCTATTCATTTTCAAAATGATTCCAAACCATAAAATTCTACATAATTATGTGGAATAACAATTATCATACTACAGCTGATGACCTATTTAGTTTATTTTAGTTTAGTTTATTTGTATGAGGGTTTGTTAAAATTGCAAGAATCGTTTCTAATTTTATTTCTAAGTTCTATTCATTTTTAAAATGATTCCAAACCATAAAATTCTACATAATTATGTGGAAAAACTTTAAATGACGTACACTGGAATTATCAAACTACAGCTGATGACATATTTTAGTTTAGTTTAGTTTAGTTTAGTTTAGTTTAGTTTAGTTTAGTTTAGTTTAGTTTAGTTGTAGATGAGGGTTTGTTAAAATTGCAAGAATCATTTCCAATTTAATTTCTATAAGTTCTATTCATTTTCAAAATGATTCCAAACCATAAAATTCTACATAATTATGTGGAATAACTTTAAATGACGCACACTGAAATTATCATACTACAGCTGATGACCTATTTTAGTTTAGTTTAGTTATTTTAGTTTAGTTTATTTATTTATTTTAGTTTAGTTTAGTTTAGTTTATTTAGTTTAGTTTACTTATTTTATTTTAGTTTAGTTTAGTTTAGTTGTACACTGAAAAAATAATATGCTTTATCTAATCAATAAAATTGTGGCAACATATTACAAGCAATATTATTCATTAAATTGTACAAATTAGAATTAATTAGAATATTAATTTGATTAACTATTACTCAATTCTAATTTGTTTAATTTAATAAATAATATTGCTTGTAATCTGTTGCCACAATTTTATTGATTAGATAAAGCATATTCATTTTACAGTGTAGATGAGGGTTTGTTAAAATTGCAAGAATCATTTCCAATTTTATTTCTATTCTATAAGTTCTATTCATTTTTAAAATGATTCCAAACCATAAAATTCTACATAATTATGTGGAATAACTTCACTGGAATTATCAAACTACAGCTGATGACCTATTTTATTTATTTTATTTGACTGACCACACATAATATAAAATCAACCTTTTGTGTTAAAGAAGGAAAAATGTACCGACTAAAACAAATTACAATATTTACTGTAAAAGAAATATATGTGCATAGTTCTATAAACAGCTAAATGAATAAATGTGAATAAACAAAGTTTCAATACTGATGTATCAAATTAACCGAATCAGACAGTATTGAGACACTCCTGAGACGACATGATTTTATCTTCATGTTCAGTAAAGCTCCTATAATGTCAAACTTTCCCCAAGAGAGAGTCTTAAAGCCAACCGTTGTTCTGATGAAACAGTCCGAGTGGGTGTGATCTCGAGGATGGAGGATTGAACACAATAAGATGGTGTGAAGTGGGATGTGTTTGCAGGAAAAGCACGTTATCAGACAAAACAAACAAAGATAAAACTGGTTAAATAAATTATAGTCTGTCTGGCTATGTGATACGCAACTCTGTAGATGCATATACAGATATAAATATATATTTGGGAAATATGTTTATTCTGTGCACATGCATCAGAATATAATGCATTCATGTAATGTCAGAGAGGAACTGATTCGTTCCTTTAAATCTGAGAATCATATTTAATGTCACAAATAGCAACTATCCATAGTTACTCAGTTTTAATCAAGGTATAAAATCAAAACTGCATGACTTCTCACTCTCAGTACCATTAACTGATCATAATTTCCTCAATAACCACATTGCTTATTAAAATATAAACATTTACTTGAACTGCTGCTTTTATAGCACATTTTATATAGTTTTTATCTGCTAAACTGCCAACAAACAGCTTATTATAAAGATTCGGGTTCCACTTTATTTCAATAGTCCAATTTAGACATTCTACTAACTCTAGGTAACTTACATGTCAACTAACTGTCATTAGAGTATTACTGTCAGACTGGTAGGTTATGGTTAGGTGTTATGGTTTGGGTTAATAGAATAAGTTGACTTGAAGTTGCCAAGTTACTTATAGTCAGTAGAATATCTGTTTTCGGGGACCATCAAAATAAAGTGTTAGCAGATATTAAAGGGATAGTTCACTTTGAAATTAATTTTTGATATGTTTTAGCTTACCTCAAGAGCATCCAAGATGTAGGAGTCTTTGTTTCCACAGTATTTTAAATTTTGATATTTTTTGGTCAAACCGTTCTTGTCTGTCAGTCATATAATGCAGGTCTATGGTCACCACCACCTCAAATTTAAGAGCATACACAGAGAATTCCAAATTAAACATGATTTAATGACTCGTGAATGTAAGTACACATTGATGGCCTAAGACACGAAACGAGCGGTTTGTGTGAGAAAACGAACAGTGTTTATATACTTTTTACCTCTTGTAACCACAGCCACGTCCAAGTACTCTCCAAGTTCTGTCTGCGCCCTCAGATTGATGAATGTTTTCATCAAAAACCTTAATTTCTTTTCGACTGAAGAAAGAAAGACATGGACATCTTGGATGCCATGGGGGTGAGTAAATAATTTTTTTTTTAAAGTGAACTACTCCTTTAAGTCCCTTAGTTTGTGTCCTGCTGTTTCTTTGAGTTTGCTCATATTGGATTACCTGACTTTGTTTAATAAATACACTTCGATCAAGCCTGTGCATCTCATGCTCTCCATTAAACCCAAAAATGAAAATTCTGTCATTATTTACTCACCCTCATGTTGTTCCATACGATATTTTAAAGAATGTCAGTAACCAAACAGTTGACAGTAGCCATTGCCTTCCATAGTATTTTTTTTTATTTTTTGATACTTTGGAAGTCAATGACTATCAACTGTTTGGTTACCAGTATTTTTCCAAAATAAATTGTTTTGTGTAGAAATGACAACTTAAAGGAGTAGTTCACTTTTAAAAAACTTTTCCTCACCCCCATGTCATCCAAGATGTCCATATCTTTCTTTCTTCAGTCGAAAAGAAATTAAGGTTTTTGATGAAAACATTCCAGGATTTTCTCCATATAATGGGATTCAATGGGAACCAAACGGTTCAAGGTACAAATGAGAGTTTCAGTGCAGCTTCAAATGGCTTTAAATGACACCAGACAATGAATAAGGGTCTTATCTTGGACCCTTCGAGTCATGACTCGAAAAAAGATTTGTTCATTTTGATGAACGAGTTCGAACAGGAGAGTCACGAATGCTCATCACAGAACAGAGCAAGGCGAGCATTTGAGCTTATAAAACTTAAACTTTTTTATTTATTTTTAAAATGACCGATGGTTTCGCTAAATAAGACCCTTATTAATCGTCTGGTGTCGTTTAAAGCCCTTTGAAACTGCACTGAAACTGTCTTTTGGACCTTGAACCGTTTGGTTCCCATTGAAGTCCATTATATGGAGAAAATCCTGGAATGTTTTCATCAAAAACCTTAATTTCTTTTCGACTGAAGAAAGAAAGACGTGGACATCATGGATGACATGGGGGTGAGTAAATTATCAGCAAAAGTTTTTTTTAAAGTGAACTACTCCTTTTGGTTGAACTATCCCTTTAAAACTTGACAGGTCTTTAGCTCTAAATCATTTGTAATGTTGAAACATTTCATGCTCCAATTTTGACAGTCACTTCAGAGAAAAATGATGGAAAAACAACTCATTCACTTTAAAACACGTCTTTCTGACCGTGTAACTAAAGCTTGCAATATTTTGAACCTCTTTTCGATTGACAACACCCACAGTATTTAACTGTGCCATTGAAATGACTGAACAGGGTGTTGTTCCACACAATAAGTGATCATAAAGAGCGTTGAATCAGATATGCGTGACACTGAGGGACATCTTTGTCAGGTACTAGGTCAGTGTCCCTTATAGTGTGGGATAATCGTACAATTTGTTGTTTCACATGGATATGGTGTCATTATAAAAGGTCTAAGAGAACAGAAATCAGCAGTTGGAGGTCATTCAAGGCTTGAGAAGTGAGGAATTATCGCTGGTGAGTCTTTTTTCAATTTCCTTCTCGTCACGTATGTGTAATAGGCATTCGAGTATCTTGTAATACAGTAATCAACCGATCTCGTGATCAGATATTTGTTCTGCACTCTTGAACTGTATCAGGTTGCTATTGTACACTTTTGAAGGATGCGAGCAGACATGAAGACCGTTTCATTCTAAGCATTTATTACAAGCTTTCACCATATTTTTACTTGTGTTTCGGATGCGTTTTTCTCGTTACAGTGCTGAAAGAATGGCTCAGTTATTGTGGGTATTTCTTGTGCTCGCTGTAACGGTCAGAGGTAAGCAATTCAATTCATTAAATAGCAGTTATTTGACTCCATATGCCATTGTATGCACACTTTTAAGTAATTTCAGTAGCATTCAGTATGAAGTCATGATTTGAAAAATGCACATTAATAATCACATATATAAATGTACTAAAATTGAGTGGGAACATGGTGTGTGGGTCAATGATTGCGTAACAACATGATCTAATCTATTCTTATACAATTATGTATATCTCATGTTCTTTATATTGACTAGATACATTACCACAAAGGATCATCGGGGGTCAAGAGGTCATGCCTTACTCCATCAAGTACCAGGTGTCTCTTCAGGTTGACAGGAAGCATTTCTGTGGAGGAACCCTCATTCAGCCTCAGTGGGTGGTGTCTGCTGCCCACTGCTGGAGACCGTACGTACTGCAACATGTCAACACGCTCGCTTCACTGACACGCTTTTAAAACAACTATTCATTATGAAGTTGTTTCATGCAAAAATGAGACCTTTGTTTTGTTGCATTTGGATCCACAGGGCCAGTGTGATTCAGGTGGTGCTGAGTGAGCACAGTCTCGCTGTAGAAGAGGGATTTGAGCAGGTGTATAACGCCTCCAGAGTCTACAATCATTTTGCCTACAATCCAAGAACGTTTAACAATGACATCTTGCTCATTAAGGTAAGAAACATAGTAACAAATACTAGAAACTGTTTCATATACAAATACTCAAGTCAAGAGGAATGCTGCTACTTAAATTTGTTTGATAATTTCTCAAATACCCCTGTTGAATCTGCAATGACTGATTGATACCTGTATTTTTAACAACCTCATATTATAATTAGTGCTGTCAAATCGATTAATCGCATCTAACATAAGTCTTTGTTTAGGGCTGTGCAATGATTATTTGTGATTAATCGTATATCCAAAATAAAGGTTTGTGTTTACATAATATATGTAAATTATGTAATATATGCTGTATATAATTATTTTGTATATATAAATACATACACGTGCATGTATATATTTAAAAATGTGTTATTCATATATAAAATATTTATATAATATAGATAATTTATATATGTGTATATATATATATATATATATATACAGTATTTATGTGCAAATAATTCTTAAATGTATACATGCATGCATATGTATTTATATATACAAAATAATTATACACAGCACAAACACATATTTTATTTAAACACAAACTTTTATTTTGGATGCGATTAATCGCAATTATTCTTTGCACACTCCTAATTATTATATATACGTCTTTGTGTGTGTGGGCGTGTGTTTAGACAGTATACACACTCTCACACACACACACACACACATATATATATATATTAGGGCTGTGAAACGATTAATCGCATCCAAAATAAAAGTTTGTGTTTACATAATATATGTGTGTGTAGTGTGTACAATTATTTGGTATATATAAATACACATGCATGTATATATTTAAGAAATATTTGCATGTATATACTTTATATATTTATACAAAATTATTATTATACATAAATATAAATATTTGATATATTAATAACAAATTTTTCTTAAATATATACATGCATATGTGTGTATTTATATATACAAAATAATTATACACACACATACTATGTAAACACAAACTTTTATTTTGGATGTGATTAATCACGATTAATCATTTCACAGCCCTAATATATATACTGTGTATATATATATATATATATATATATATATACTGTATATGCAGACACGCACACATACACACTCACATAAACTAACATACTGTATAAATCCAAACAGTCTCCAAACACAGAATAGTCTTTCAAAACATTGAGCAGCTTCTGGCTCAACCAGAACCAATGACGTGAGCTCTGGGGCGGGACTATCTGTTTGTTTGCCCAATGTCAGATGGGGAGAGTGTTTTTAGGGAAACCTGTTTGGAAACTGTCATTGTATTTGCAATTTCTGCCAAAATTACACACCTGACATGAAGACATCTTCTTTATGTTTCCCCAGCTCAGTGTTCCCGCTCAGATTAACGCTAATGTTCAGCCGGCCCCACTGCCAACCGTAGACACACCTGATTTAGTCGGAGGAATCAGCTGCACCGTGAGCGGATGGGGAGTGACACGACTCTACAGCTTCTACCTGTCCCCGACTCTGCGCGCGGTGGATGTGGAGATCATCCCCAACTGCCAATACTACTACTACTTTAGAGTCAACGACAACATGCTCTGTGCAGGCTCGCGCTTCGGGGGGAAAGACTCCTGCCAGGTAATGAGAGCTTTCACTGCAAATGAGTGCAAATCTCATTTACACAACACCAGTGACAGTGCCACTTTTACATCTGAAAAAAGTGTAGAGAATTTACATCATTAGCATGCTTCATTGGAGCGGGCGGATGTTAAAAAGTTCATTTGCTTCGACTCTCTGATTGGTGGAGATTTCTCTGCTGAATCATGGGTAATGTATTTGTTCACCAGGAATTCTGCTTTTAAACAAATAAGTAAAAGATAGGCTGAAGTAATGCATTGTAATACAATCGAATAACAACCTCATAGCCCACAGTGTTTGATTTTTAAAAGTTATTGTTAAAAATCAATTCCTCTATGGAGAAAATAATGCCCATACCATGGATGGACTATTACACAAAAGAAAATGAAAAAAAAAAAAAGTTGATTTTTTGTTTTCTCAATAACTTTAGCATAATCAGTGTCTTGAGAATATAATAATAATAATATTAATAGTTATTAATAATAAACATTACTTTGGCAATTCTCTTTGGTGCAGTTATTTTAGTATCATTGAGAGATATTAGTTTTTATTTTATTTGTATTTATTTTTTTGTCAAGTTATTTTTTTAAATGTCTACACTGTAAAACAAATATTTTCATGATTAGTAATCACAACATTTTTTTTCATTTGTCAAATCAACTTTTATTTAGTTCAGATAACATAATATTTTGAGTTTTTGATGATTAAATCATTCTCCTTCATTGTATTAACTCACTTTTTCCATTTCAATGAACTTAAAATTTTAAGGCAACCAGGTTACTTACTTTTTTAAGTTAAACCAACAATATTTTTTACAGTGTTTTTAGCTTTTACTAATTTTTTTTCAGTTTTAGATGGAAACGAGAAATGTTGCAACTAGTTTCAGTTTTTTTATATATATTTTATTTCAGTGAACTTTTTTATTTTTATTTCAAGCAACAACAACCAAATTTTTCTTTTAATGGTTTTAGTTTCAATTAATAACCCTGATTTGGTGCAATTAAAATTTCACTATTTTAGCGACACTTTGAGCTCTTCCTGAATTTAGTTCCCCTCACACACACCTTCCTTGTCACGGATATCTCCAGTTTCCCTAATTTACGATAGCACACAATCCCTCCCAAGGGTCCCGCCAATGGGTTTTCTTTGAAAAGGGCATTCTGGGAATTAGGGTGCGGTCAACCGCTGACAGTTCAAGGAGATGTTAGATGTACTCTGATATGGTTCAGCTTTTCAGGGCTTTATGTTCAAATCAAGGTGTGATATCTGTATGAACTTATAGGTACACAATGTACACAATAGAGAATATCTATAGCTTTGCAAGTAACATAGAAAAAAACTGCAGAACATGCAGTGGGATCTAAAAATGTTATTATTTTCTCGGTTTAATTGGAAATAAATACTTTTTTTTAGTAAATTTGAATACAATAGTACAGTACAATTTGACTTTGAAGAATGTAAAAAAACAGAAAAATGATAATGTACTGTATACTATATATATTCTGCTTCCATTGCATTGTTCAATAATTACAGTAATATCTCGCATTGCCGTCTTTCACAGGGAGATTCAGGTGGCCCTCTTATTTGTGATGGGAATTTAGAAGGCATTGTTTCCTGGGGAATCGGCTGTGCTCTTCCGTACTATCCTGGTGTCTACACTAAAGTCAGGAACTACAACCGCTGGATCGACTGGATCATCTCCTCTGAGAGTTAAAACACACGTTCGGCTGAGAATTAAGAACAAGGATGTCATGTAACAATAAATGCTACTTCAAGTACTGATCCATTCACATTATTCCATCCAGAATGCAGAGGCTTAAAGAGTAACATGTACATTTTGGACTTTTTAAAAGCATTACATGCTTAAAATAACTTTATTTTCTCTATTACAGTACGTTTTAAAGTAACACAACTGACTGAATATGTTTCTCATTTCTCTTTTGATCTAAAATAAAAAAAATAACTTAAAATCACTTAAAAATAAAAATTCTGTCATCATTTCCTCACCCTCAAGTTGTTTCAAACCTGTATGAGTTTCTTTCTTCTGCTGAACACAAAAGAAGATATTTTGAAGAACACTCGATGGACCCCATTAACTACCATAGTATTTTTTTTTTCCTAAGAATGAAACTCATATACTGTAGGTTTGAACTATTCCTTTAAATGCTTGAACTTATAGACAAATACAAACTGTGACTATGTATGAATGTCTTTACAAAACTTGTATCAACTTGTATCAGTACAATTTAAAAAGCATCACATAATGCAACTCGTGAGAAAATGTCCTAAAAGAAATCCAGCTGTCGACAAGATTGATGATGAGACTGCCGCGGTCACATTTTTAAATACATAAAGTTTACAACAAGCTCTTACTTGTGCCTTTATTGCAGTCATTTCATCATGAGTGTCTGAACTCTGGACTGAGAAAAAGGATAATCTTTACTCGTATGTCTGGTTACATAGCTAAGCTTTAACTCATTTAAATATTTTCTAGTATGAGAATAAATGCTTAAACCACATGTGTTCTTGGGGGGGGGTGTATGACTAAAGTTAATGGGAATTTTGTGAGCAACGGTTCAATATCCATAGACATAGACAAAATTCACAGAATTACTCTACACTAAGAGTCATTGCATCACTAATTTCCTCCTTTAACGGTCTCTCTCTCTCACACACACACACACAAACACATACACATTAACTTGTGACTTAAAGCCATGCAGTGCCTGTCTTCTGAAACAGAGTCTCCAGTCAGTAGAGTCATGAATAGCTTGAGCCCACAAGAGCTTGTTCAGAAATCTCTGGAAGCCCGAAATCGGGCGTACTGTCCCTACAGCAAGTTTAGGGTTGGAGCAGCTGTCTTGACAAGCAGTGGAAGCGTGTTCACAGGTGGGACTCTCTTATACACTTCTAAAAGATAAGTGTAGTTATATATATTGAAAGCTACAAATACATTCAAAAAGATATACATATTTAATTTGCATATGCTAAATGGATGCTCAAGTCAAGATTACATCTCTGTTTGTTCATGGTTCATCAGTATTTGGTGATCTTCTGTTAACAGGTTGTAATGTAGAGAATGCATGCTACTCTGCTGGATTGTGTGCTGAGAGGACCGCTATCTCAAAAGCTGTGTCTGAGGGACATACCAAGTTCAAAGCCATCGCAATTGCCAGGTGTTTTGATGTATTGGTATATTTGATATATTGGCTGAAGTTTAAGTACATACTGTTGAGTTATATTCCTGGTGTACATTGTGTTTTGTGCAGTGACCTTGAAGATCGGGTTATTTCTCCATGTGGAGGCTGCAGACAGTTCATGACAGAGGTTAGTTCTTTTTAAGATGAAAGATTACACTTTATTTTAAGGTGAATGTGTTACAGTGAAATTATGAATTAAAGTACTGTGTAAAAATACACTACATGTACTTACGATTGGGGTTTGTTTTGGGGTTAGTTGCATATAATGATGCTAAAAAAGTTGCATCAAGTCTAAGTCATTTCAACTTTACATTAAACTGACTTAAATGTCTTGTTTAACTAAAGTTGAAGAAAATTGTTAATACAATACAGTATGTAAAAACATTGTTGTCATAACTTATTGATCTTACATGTAACGTGTAACAAGGACACTATAAAATAAAGAGTTACCAAATATCATTGATAATTTTCATTGTAATTATTATTGTTATAATTGACAAAGTCTGTGGCATGCAAAAACAAGTCATCAGTCAGAACATGTCAACAATGACAAACTGCGCATTCAGAAATAGAAGAAATTGCAAAATTTAGGTAAAAAAAAAAACCCAAAACAAAACAAAAAACATCAGAACATTGCAATAGAGTAATGCACTAATAATTTTTCACCTTTAATGAACACTGTCAGTTAACAGACTGGATATGATTTTTTGCAGTTTGGCTCACAGTGGGACGTTTATCTTGCAAAATCTGATGGATCTTACATACTGATGACAGTGGAGGAGCTCCTGCCATGTTCATTTGGCCCTGAAGACCTGAGAGCAAAACCATAGAAAAACAAAGCTGAAATTATGATGTCATGTTACAAAGCAAATGTGTAGGCTAGATAGATTTATAATGTATTGAATGTATGTATGGTTCTAATATTTCGCAATGAAAACATACAGTAAATGTGTAAACTAATAATAAATTATTAATAATTGGTTAATAATTGACTTGTCAAGATTTTTCGTACTTTTATTTTAAAATACATGCCACCTGGGCTTTTATTGTGAAATACGTGCCTTCTGACTTTTATTTTGAAAATTGGTCGCCGACCAATCAGCATTACGTAAACACTGTCCTTGAGAGATAATGCAGGTAGAAGTAAAGGAGACCTAGTTGTTTTTTTCTATCAACGCGAAATTTAGTTGTTTATTTGGCTCAAAATGTCAGTAAAACATGCTGTCGGTCGGGGGTTGGAGCTGGCGAGGTCAGTTTTCCAGCTGGGTCTCTTCAAACCAGCCGGCCGTGTGGCAGCGAAGTTCCGCGGTGAGCGACTGCGTGTGTCCCGGCCGACCCGCACCGTTCAGCCGCAGACCTTCTTGCCTGGCCGGTACCGCTTCTTCCGCCTGTCTCTCAGCGGGCTGGCCGCCCAGCTCCAATCCGGCGCTTTTAGGAGAGTGATTGGGGGTGGTTCACCCAGGAACAGGACTCTTTTCCTGGCTTTTGGGGTGGGTTTAACGCTGATTGAACAGCAGTTGGAGGAGGACAGGACAAGCGTTGCTGTGTGTCAGAAGATACAGGTGACTACAGCCTCCTATAAGAACACAACGATGACTGCAATTGTTGTCAAATGATGAGGAGGATGATAATTAATTAACTAATCATTCCTGTAGCCCAAACAGTAGAACATTATTTATGGGTTTATGGGTTTGATTCGCAGGGAATGCATGAACTGAAAAAATGTATTCTTTGAATGCAAGCATGTGTGTGTGTGTGTGTTATATTAATCCTCTACTGTTCGCTGGTCGGTCAAAAACATTTTTTTTTATATAATGTGTTTTATATAATATATAATTTTTTTTATAGTCTATCACATGTAATCCATTATAATTTCTGCAAATGCATGCATTTCTTAGGAATACAACTTCTCCATTCTATTTTTTCATGTGTTTCGACTACATTTTTGTTTACATGTTTGACTAATATTTCTCACAATGTAGACCGTATTCACTAAGACGAAGTTCCAGAGCCCACTGAAGGCCTTTACCTCAGGGTACAAGTTGGAGGACTACGTCACTGGGAAACAGATCGGGAAAGGTTGCAATGCAGCCGTGTATGAGGCAGCTGCTCCGTTCGCGGCTCCTCCGGAGAGAGAGAAGTGTTCACTGGTGGACTTGAACCAGGAGGAAACTGACAATAAGAAAGAAGGGCCGTTCCCTGCTACACACAGCTATCCTTTTGCCATGAAAATGATGTGGAACATTGGGGTGAGAAGTTACAGCATTTTAGCATTATTAATTTTATTTTGCAAATAGTATATATTTTGTGTAGACTACTTATACATTGAGGATTCCACAATGCATCAAGACTGAACATTTGATACTGTCCTGTAGGCTAGTTCATCAAGTGACGCCATCCTTCGCTCTATGTCTATGGAGTTGGTTCCCGCATGTCCACATGCCTTATCCAAAGAGCAAGAGGAGATTGCTTTGGATGGGTGAGTTTGTATGTGAACTTTAGGAGTCCAACATGGCCTTAAAATACACTGAATCATTGCCAGTGGCTTTGCTATTTTTACAGGCACTTTGGAACAGTGCCTAAACGGCTGACCGCTCATCCCAACGTGATCACAGTGTACCGGGCCTTCACCGGGGAGGTCCCGCTGCTGCCTGGAGCTCAAGAGGAGTACCCTGCTGTCCTGCCTGCCCGACTCAATCCACTGGGTTTGGGCAGGAATCGAACACTGTTCCTGGTCATGAAGAAGTGAGGAAGCACTCTGCTAATTAAATCAAAATAAAAAAAGTAATGATAATTAATTAGAATAGCAATAAATATGGTTTCATTTATTTATTATTAAAAAATATATTATGTAATTGTGGTAAATAAATAGAAAACAAATAAAAAAAAAATGATAATGAATAATAATTAATAAAAATAGTTATTTTCATAAAAAAATAAAAAGTTGAATAAATAAAACAATAAATAACAAATAAGATTAGTAGTAATAATTATATGTAAATATTATACAATTATTATGAAAATAAGTAAAATAAATTAGACATTATAATTGATAATAATAATGAATAAAATTATTAAGTTTTATAAATATTTATAAAAAAAAATGAATAAATGAAATAATAATGAATGGTAGCAGTAATAATTATTATATTTACTATTAAAAAATAATAAAAAAAAAGAACAAAATTATAACGAAATTATAAAAGTATTATTAATAATATCATTTACCAAATGTATTATAAGTATGCATTATTAAAATAATAAATACATTAAATAATAATTGTTTTATATATTTTTATATATTATTATTTATAATATTTATTTATTGTCAAATGTTATTGATTTATATTATATTTACATATTTTATTTATTTATAATCAAATAATTAAAATCTAGTGAGATACAAGTTTTTGCATGCCTTTAGACTCATTTTCTGATGAATAGTGTTTGTGGTCATTTTTATATCCGATAAATCTTGATGTGTGTGTGTGTGCTGTAGTTACCCATACACTCTGCGGCAGTACCTGAAGGTGTGTGAGCCGAACCAGATGCAGGCCTCTCTCATGTTGCTGCAGCTGCTGGAAGGGGTGGACCACCTGTGCAGACAGGGCATCGCTCACAGAGATCTCAAATCAGACAACGTGCTCCTGGAATTTGACAGCAGTAAGAGTCTCGAGACATGGCAGAGTTTTTATACCAATGTAGACTTGTGCCAGCATTAGGCAAATGCTTCAATCATGCTGTTACGTGTTTTTATTTACTGTTAAGCCGGGTGTCCCAGACTGGTGATTACTGACTTTGGGTGCTGTCTGGCAGAAGATTTTGGCCTCCAACTGCCCTTCGACACCAACTTGGTCAACAGAGGGGGAAACTCCTGTCTGATGGCACCCGAGGTGAGAAACTTCAGGAATTATTCTGGAAACATGACGTGTCAGCTAAGATGTCTCTTATGCTCAACATTTATTTGATCAAAAACTTGATCTTCTAGGTGGCCACAGCAGTGCCAGGTCGAGGGGTGACGATTGATTACAGTAAAGCAGATGCCTGGGCTGTAGGGGCGATTGCCTATGAGCTCTTTGGTCAGCCAAACCCCTTCTACAGCTCACAGGGGCTGGAGAGCCGCAGTTATCAGGAAAGACAACTCCCTCCACTTCATGCTGCTGTTCCTTCTGCGGTCCAGCTGGTAGTGAAGCTCCTGCTTCACAGAAACACTCGCAAGGTATAACTGGTCCGTCTCCACTACACGCTGCCACATATACTGGCCAGAGACAGTAGGTCAAATTAAAATATCTGCTTTTGAATAATAATAAAGTTTTATTAAACATGATGTCAACAAAACAAAATTACCACACATACGATTTCAGAGGGGTTCACGTATATTGGAGAAAAACTTAATGGTCCTAAAATGTTAATTTTATGCAAATATAATTTTGGCCTGTGTGTGTCTATATATATATATATATATATATATATATATATGTCAAAATTATATTCACAGGTCAAAATTATATTTTTATAAATATATATTACTATTTACTTATAATTACTTTAAGCTAATATTATATTGAACTATTTCCCGGGGTTTTTACCTTGTAATCTTCATTCAGATCACAAGACAAATTTGCATAACTATTTCAATATTTTATTATTATAACTATTATTAGTACTATGATCTTGTAGTTTTGGGTTTCAAAAAGCAACAATAAAACGTAATTAAAAGAATTTCTGCATTTCATGAATATAATGGTAGTTTGAAATGTACCCATAGAAAACTCATCATTACTTTAGACTTTAAGAGCTCTGACCTCAAAGATAAACCTGTTCATTACAATAAGTAATATTTTCTTCACTCGTTTCCAGCGCCCCAGTGCACGTGTGGCCGCTAACATGCTTCACATCAGCCTGTGGGGCAGGCGTGTCTTGGCCAGCTTGGATCGGGCCAGGATGGATAAAATGATCGACTGGCTGCTGTGTCAGTCTGCTGTGGTTCTCCTGAAGAGTCGCGGACCCAGCGGAAGCTCTGTGGAAACTGAACTCCAGAGATCCTTCCTCGCCAACATAGACCTAGAGGACGTCCGCACCGCTGTCAGCTTCCTCATGTATGGACAACAGCAGGGGCAATCTCTGCTCATGCACTACCCTGAACTATAGTGTGTGTGTGTTTACTGTAGAAACAAGAACAGCTGAATACAAAGTGAGTGATCATTTTTCCAAGCTGTTCCTTTCATTTCTTTCTGTAGAAAGCACTTTAACTTTTATGTCTAGATCACAGTCTGACATATTTTGAAATTATGGCAATTTATGCATTTGCACTTTTCGCTTTATGCAGTTTAGAACACTTTAGAATAACCATATCAGCATAATAACCACACAGACTCAAACCAGGTACAAACTCATGAGTAGATGGGGATTTGTGATGTAATTTTAAAAGGAAAGGCATTTCAGACTCAGAGGTGAAGCAAGTCTTTTAAATAACATGTTCGGATAAGTTGTACAATAAGACCAGGCATTGTGCATTAAAAGTAAGTAGAGGGACTTTTAAATGCATGTTGACTTTATAATGGATATCCTGGAAAGAAGCCAAAAAGAAGAGTATAGTATTTGAAATATGTACTCTTGTCTTTTGCCATGTGGTAATAAAACAGTTTGGTGATTGGTTATATTTGATGGGTTTTTAAAAGCATATGTACATACTGTGACTGCAGTATATTATTATCGTAAAATATGCATTACTTTTGGATAAAATGGCAAAGGCATTCCCCAAGAAGCATGGGTATATTGCTCCAGTCCTCCTGGGAATTTAGTATGCATAGGCTACTACATACTTCATTCCTAGTAGGAATAGTATGGCAGTATTTAATTGCGATTACACACACACACAGACCCAGCCCCGTATCACGCCAGAGGCTAAAGTTCATTCTGAATCCCCTGAACTAATACTGACAGACACAACTCTGCATTTACCATATTATTGTGAAGACTTTAACCTTCAAACGGACTTCTAAGCTCAGTTGTTTGCACAGCTGAGTTGTTGCATTGCATTTTGCGCCAATTTCTGCACGAGCTCGTTCCATGCGACGCAAAACATGTTTTCTTCAATCAAAATTGCTACTAAAACTCGAGTAGTCTTTGGTGGATCTCAAGTTTTTAAAACGTGTGCTTCTCAGAGAGTCGTGAAATGGGGGGACGTCGACGGGAATCAGAGCAGTGTGTCTTGCACACGGCGAATGTCCGGGAAAGGTTTCAATGTCCCACCGAGCGCGGAGTTTGTGGCGAGGGTTAGCGGAATCGCGACTATGTGCAAACTACCGTTTCAGGAAACAGCGGACGGCCTGGACGCGGCGTTTGTCGGGGTTCCTATTGACACCGGAACATCCAACCGTCCCGGTGCAAGGTAAGTTAATACTGTGTATGTATGTATGTAATACTGTCATACATTAATCAGGGTTGCTAACTTCGGGACTTTGGCTGGAGTGAGACTGTAAAACTTCAGTGCGCGCAGAATTCAGAATTGTTTTGGCAACCCTAACCCTAATTTTAAAAAATGTCAGTCCTTGTTTACTTAGTCTAAACACTGATTTATGCAAAATACAATAAAAATAAATAATGGAAACGTTTAATAAACATGTAATACACAACAACACCACACCGAAGAGGTTTGTATCTGAAGCAGGGTTGGATCGATCCGTTCATTGTTTCTGTCACGTGACAAATGAACGAAAGACTCGGAAGCGGTAAAGTAATGATTTTCCCTGTAAATTATTTTTGACTCCATTTATAATGATTTCTTAATTCAGAATATGATAAAGACTGCGAAGGTGGATGTGTTCGGGAAATTTGACTGTTAAAAGTATAACATTTAAAGCCCTGACTCGAAAAAAGATTCAGGAGATCCATTCAAACGAATCAGTAAAATGATCCGAACTTACCATCACAGTGTGCCATCAAATGACAGTCTGTGGGTAGTTTTGTTTTGGCCAATAACTGAAAAGGTTTGCTTAAAAAAATTCTAGTTATGAAATTAGTGAGTTATTGTTTTCCAAAATGTTTTAAAATAGCCTTTCCAATTCCACCACAGAATGCCATTAAACATAATTACATCATTTTGTGATGTGGAGGAAATGTTCATTCACTATTTTCCATTTACATAAACCTAATATCCAGTGAACAAAAACGAGTATCTTTTACTCTGTACAGATTTGGTCCGAGGCACATCAGGGCAGAATCTTCTATGTTAAGGGCATTCAACGGCTGGACAAGAGCGGCCCCGTACGAATCTCTAAGAGTGGCAGATATCGGTGACATTAACGTCAATCTTTTTGACCTGAAGGACACATGCAAAAAAATACGCGAGGGATACCGTAAAATTGTGGCCACGGGGTGCATCCCACTTACACTGGGTGAGAGAGCAGTTTCAATATGCAGGAATACTCAGATCAGTGTTGAATCTACTCTAAATATGCATGTTACTTCCCCTTTTCAACTTGTCTTGGATTCCCAGGAGGTGATCACACAATTGCATACCCGATTCTTCAGGCAGTCTCTGAGAGGTTGGTGCACTCTCAACAGTCTCTCTCCAAGTTTACATCACTAACTTACATTTAGTGTGAAATATTGCTGTTTCTGCTGTTCAGACATGGTCCAGTGGGCCTAATACATGTGGATGCCCATGCGGACACTAGTGACGTGATTCTGGGGGAGAAGATTGGCCACGGGACCCCTTTCAGGCGCTGTGTGGATGAGGGTCTCCTGGACTGCAAGAGGGTCGTCCAGATCGGGCTTAGAGGCCCGAGTTATTCTCCAGATAATTATGAGTGGAGCCGAGCACAGGTATCAAGCTTATACACTGTAAACAAATATTGTTGGTTTAACTTAAATAAAGTAACCTGGTTGCCTTAAAAATTTAAGTTCATTGAAATGGAAAAAATGAGTTAATACAATGAAGGAGATTGAGTTAATCATCAAAAACTCAAAATATTATGTTATCTGAACCACATAAATTTGATTTGACAAAAGAAAAAAATGTTGTGATTACACATCATGAACATTTTTTTACAGTGTGTATATATATATATGGACATATTGTATTAGTATTATTTTGTATTATAATAATGTCATATTATATGTCAATAAAATTAATAGATGTATTATTAATAGTTATTATTGTATTAGTTAATTCATTATCATGTATACAATTCAATTAATTCATTATTAATTATTCATTAATATTCAATTAATTCATATTAAATATCATATCAATTCATATCAATTAATGAATATTCAATTAATTATTTTATTATATATATATATATATACATACATTAATAATTTTATATGTATTATTTATATGTATTATATTAATTATATTTAAAAAAATTAAATTAAGCAGATTATTTTTAACCCCTTGAGCTATTATATATACACATATACATATTTATATATAAATTCAAATATTTTTTGATTGACTTTTTTTCTTCTTGCAGGGTTTCCGTGTAGTTGAGGCTGTGGAGTGCTGGCACAAATCTCTTGTCCCTCTCATGGAGGAGGTTCGCTCACAGATGGGATGCGGACCTGTCTATCTCAGCTTTGACATAGACAGTCTAGACCCTGCATACGCTCCCGGGACAGGAACGCCCGAGATAGCAGGTCTCACACCCATCCAGGTATGTGTACCTGTCCAGGTCCACCAGAAAGGCTCAATCCTGCTCCTGGAGATCTGCAACTAATCAAACTCCCTTGAACCAGCTAAAGAAGGTCTTTGGGTTCACTCGATGACAATCATACTTTTATGAGTATGCATATAAATATGACTAAAGAATGTACACTATAAGTACATAATTTGTGACAAATAAGTATCTAGGATGGATCTGCACACTTTTACTTTATGCATGGATACATACTTAAAATATCCACCGGTCCAGTAAATCCAACAGTGCATAAGGACAATTATTTAACATACTGTAACTGTACTATAATTTGGGACACACTAATCAGTACTGGTAATGTGTGATTGGGATGTAGCCAAGATCCCACACTCAGGTTTGAGCAGCTCTTAAAGTTCATCAAAGTTTAATATTAACACTTTACAGTAGGTTTGCTTGAAGAATGTTTTTTTAATTTTGCTTTCAGGGTCTGGAAATCATCCGAGGTTGTCGAGGTCTTAATCTTGTCGGTTGTGATTTGGTTGAGGTTTCTCCACCTTATGACACCACAGGTACTGTATTATATTGGGTAATTAAGTCATTTAAGATGAAATGAATTTAATTAATGCTTAATGTTTTAATTTCTCACACTGTTTGATCTGTTTTTCATAGGAAACACTGCTTTGACTGGTGCTAACCTCCTTTTTGAGATGATGTGCGTCCTTCCGAAAGTCAAATACTATTGATTGATCACAAAGATGTTTGTGAAATGTCCCAGGTAATTGCACATTGTCATAAAATCTACATGATTTATGTACAAAAAGGGAATTTCAGCAACAAATTTCTTTATTTGAAGTAGCAAAACAATGTCGTTCCATCACAATCTATAACAATAACCCTTGATGTTTATGAATTGTGGGGTGAAATTAAAATTGTGCAAATAAAACATTTCATGTTTATTTGATATAGTTTTAAAACCATTTTCAATAGATTAATAAATAAAACGGATTATATAATAACATGATAACAGTGTCAATATTTTACACCACAGACATGAAATACATTTAGTCATACAGAGTTAATACAGTAAGCCATGAAAACTTGGCATGATTTAATGCTGACTATCTTAAATTTAAGATATTTACCAGTGCATCGCAAAACATATATAATAAAATGCTAATATAGTACAATGGCACCAATACCGCATTATTAATTGTAAAGTATAATGAATGTTCATTGAACACCATATGAATAAAGTAATATTACTTTATGGAAGACTTCATACAGGAGTGGATTTAACACACCCACAACTTTCTGTGCATATGTGATATATAATCAAACAGACACATTAACACTAAAATGGCCTTCCACAGCTAACATGAAATGCATAGTACAAAATACTTCCAATCAAGTGTATTATTCCTTCTCTACGTACTGTTGCGAATATTTTTGCATGCCACAGCACATCTATAATGAAAGAACGCAACTGGAAATCTGGCACTATTATGTTTACCTGCTCATTTGTTAGCTGCACTATATAGCGTAATGTGACTAGTAAAGGTCAATAAATAGATTTACTTACACTATCAACCTGGTTAGAACATCTCAACTTTCTTGTATTTTTAGAGACACAAACCCATATGATATCTTTACATAGACATTTAATATAATCATCTAACTATTTACACCTTGTAACTGAAACGCATTTCATAAAGTCGTGCCAGTTTGTGTTAAAGTGTCGGCATTTGACAAAGAGCTGCACAACAAAATGTATAAAGCTATAGTACTTAATTTGTTGAATGTCTAAGTGGCCAATTTGAATTCTAACAAATAGAAAGTCTCAAAGTAGCCAAAGTTTGGCCTAAAATTAATTTTTGGTCATTTCTGCAAGTAATTTTTTACATAGTTTAAGGTTAACATCAGTTAATGCAATTCGTTACTTAGTTGATGCATTAGGCGATTAATAATAATGAATCACTATAAAACGTTTCATATATGTGCTGTAAAAATGTACATTATCCACGATCAATAAATGCTGTAAAAGTATTGTTTGTTTGTTATTTAATTTATTGCATTAACTAAAGTTAATGTACAAAATCTTATTGTAAGCAAAAACGTACTTTCTTGATTAAAGGGGTTAAATTAAAAGGGAAAGTGTCTCTTAAAATTGTAAAACATAAAAATTCACAGCATTTTCATGAGTAAACATAGTTATGACTAAAAACTCTACAGTGTTCATGTTTGTTGTTATGCTACTTTTTGTTAGCTATTTTAAACTAGCAGCATGTCGCAATGTTGTGGAAATGAAATGTCAAAAATTGAAAGCTAGGATAGCTGTATCAGTATTTTGGCTCTCAACCAACGACCTTTGAAATAAATACAGAAGAACCAAACTGACTGTAGAGCCCTCCATTAGAGCAGCGATCCGTGTCGATTCAAGTACTTCGTACATTTTCCGTTCCTCCACACTGCTAAACTTAAGTAACTTCTGCAAACTCTTACGTATAATCGTCTCACGATCATCTGCGCTCTGAGCAGCGTCGAGTCTGGTTTCGCTGAGGCCTTTGGTGAAGCTGGGTTATTAGCTCTAGCAAAAGCATGCTAGCTTTATTTATTGACAGTGATCTTATCCAGACCGGGCCAGGCTGGGACGTAGTACCGGGGCAGAGTCCCTTCCATCAGTCGCTCCATCCAGAGCCCGAGTCGATCCAGTTTGTGGTGGATCTGAAGAGTTGTGGATCTGGAGCGTGTGATGCCCTTCCTGGATCGGGATCCTCCTCCTTCCTCTTCCGGCTTGCTATCCAAGTCTTCACCTGTGTAGACTGGCTTGAAAAGACACAGGTATTTCTTATGGCCGTTGAGGGCTAGAACGTACCCGGTGTAATCTGCTTTGCGGCCGGACACCTCGTCCTCGTCCGTGTCGATCTGAACGGCGTCCTGAGCGTACTCCAACACAGCAGTCATCCATTCACCGTGTTTATCCACATTCAGGAAGGAGAAGTGTAGCGTCAAACTCCTGCGAGGAAATGGAATATTGAGAGCGTTTAAATGTACGTTCTTAAACCGATTATGTTTTAACAATCCGACAACACGCGTAATCGATTAATCTGATGATTATTATAACGATTAATCGTCGATTATTTTGCCGGCTAATTGGTAAGTTTGGAACGATTATTCGCCATTTTTCAATTAGTTAAAACATTGAGTTATATATATTCTTACTATAATATAAACAAAGAAAATCAGTTCAGCTTTTGAAATAGTTGTTTTAATGAAGTTTGAGCCAACTAAACAGGCAATAGCATTTGTGAAGGGCTGCATTACACTCTAGCGCCACAGCGCCGTAGTGGTCAAATCGCGATATTGCACGCCCCCCAAAAATTAGGTCAAGTGAGATCAAACGACTACTCGACAACAAAGATATTTGTCCACAATTTTTTTTTGTCGACGTTGTCGACAATGTCGACTCATCGTTTCAGCCCTAGTGGTCATGTAAATGCATTAAACCGTTTTCCTTTATCGCCGTACGGTCATAAACGGTTTAAGAATAAACCAATCGACATAAGCTAGATTTTGGCCCGGCTTGTAAACACCTCCTTCTGTTGGCTTATTGAGCAAATAAATATAGTAAACAATAGGATAAAAACATTATTTCTGTTTATTTCCATATATTGAAAGGAAAGCACATACTCTCACACACACACTCGCACAGAAATATGTTGTCAGTTTCATCAAGATTTGATCAGTAAAATAGCTTAGTTATTTAAAAGCTATTTGACATTTCTCACTAGAGAGGACATAATTACAGCACTGTTCTTGAAGCAGATAAACTTAGTTTTGATATTAGTAGAGACGCAGCTGCCAAACACTGTTGAGAGACGCAGACAGGTAATTTACATTCACTTAAGCCCTATTCGCACGGGATTAGTATTATCTGGTGACCTGTAGGAATTTGTAATAATTGCGGAGATTGTCTGTGATCTTAATCCCGTGCGAATCGGCCATGTCTGTAATTTGTAAAGTAAAAATTTCCCCGCAAATTACCTACTATATTTCGCCGAACACCGAGGTCCTGTGATAATATTAGTCCCGTGCGAATCGACATCTCTGTGATTTGGCCGGATCGTATATCATTTTTTTTCAAGGTTTTTGTTTCATCTGCGCCTTTTTATCCATCTTTCGCGGAGAATAGAGGCTAATTTGGAGTGTTTTGATATTATTTTGGGTGCGGGGTCATATCGGTAGTACAACTATACGATTTGCAGAACGAGAAAGCTATACCATCAGAAGAGCAAAAACAAAAAGAACGATTAGATGGAGATGGATGACATGTTTAGCAGGATACGGTACTAAGGACAATTCTTCTGTCTATTATATACAGCTAGACATAATAACGACAAGACATTTCAAAGCTATAGCCTAATGATATCATATGCAGGAGATAAGTCAGTAAATTCGAGTAAAATCACAGGCTTCCCTTATCCCGTGCGAATGCGCCACACGAAATTCAGATGTGGGTGGGTAATTTCAAATTCACACGTGGTCCCCAGGTAATACTAATCCCGTGCGACTAGTGCTTTAATCTCTCTCTCTCTCTCTAATAACTGCATTAGTCTCTGCTATCAATGGCTCAAGCCTCCATTACTAGCTCTTAGGACGTTTTGGAATTAGTACCGGAGGCGTAGGAGAAGAAATTAGTCCTAAACACACATCGTTTTAAGGATAAAAACCTGACAAATGTCTTGAAATACACCATCTGAACAATATTTTGAGGTGTGGTAACCATAGCATAAGTGGTTCTTTTTTTAGACAATGTAACTGCAGAAGTATGGCATGCAATGAGGGCTCACCCTGTGAATGAATAAACCTCCTTGGCAAACTTGCTGAGCAGGATGTTCTTCGTGGCATCAGTAAGTACCAGAACTACATTAATGTGACCCGGCCTCAACTTCACCAGGTTACTGGTGTATGTGATGTCGGTTAACTCGGTCACCTCCACGAAGTTCTTCTTTGGTGGACGACTGCTGGAAAAAAGTAAAGTGAAAAATAAAATAAAGTGAGAAAGCATCTATATAAAAATTCATGGCCTATAAGTAGATGAGTTAAGTTAAAATTCGATAGTATGCAAAAAGTTTTTAATTTATTCAGGCAAACTATAATGACTACAAAATTAAAAATCAATTGTTTTAAATGCTATATTGTTGTATTGGCTGATATTAAAATTGTATATTTCTTTAACAATATAATTTTTTTTTTGTTAAAGTACAGCATGAAATGGATATTAATTTTCAAAAAAAGGCTAAAGATTACAATGTACACTTATAATCATATACATATTATTAATAAATTATATAATAATAAAATCTAAATGTAAAAAATAAGGGAAATTAGTTTTCGTAATTAAATATCCAAAATTGAACAATATCGAGAATAAAATCTTCAGTGTCACCCAATAAATTATATGATACTTCGAAATTTTGCATTATTAAAATAGATTAAGTTCCGTGTAAATATTTAATCAAACATGATATATGAGAGAACCTGGATGTGTTGGAGGTGTTTGGTGAACCGTTCTCTGTCTTAGCATTCTCATTTGATTTAGCTTTGGGCTGTTTTTCTTCACTTGAGTCACTGAAAATGAAAACAGCGATGTTGAATGACTCTCCATTTTCCGTCTACAGACACATCAAAGTTAGGAAAGCAATAAATCTCACCTAAAAGCTTGAATAACGACTGTGCCAAATAAAATAAAAAGTGCAGAGAATAACAAAGACATAAGGGGCATCATCTCACGCCTGCAAAAGAAACAAAATTACAATATTACAATTAAATATACCAATATTACTGAAAGACCCACCTTAGCATTTGTTGGCATCTGTTACGAAGGGATATTTCATAAAGTTTATCCAAAGGGGGAGGAGTTTAGCGAAAGGTCAAATGCTTTTTTATTCTCTTACCAGTTATTGTGAAGAAGATCGTCCATAATTTCAGACAAGTAGTCATATGCTGTGTAAATCCATCTTATTAAAAACATCTGAAAATAAATAGTTCAACTATTGACCGATACAGCAAATTCAGAACACTATTTGGACATGGATCATTACTGAAACATGTATATAGGTCAGTCCTAATTTCTCAATTAAAGACGCTCCATGAAAAGCAAACCCTGAGAGACTCACCGTGGCAAACTCATTGTTGAGCTCTGGCAGAATGGCGTCATAGTTGAGGATGGTGGGATCCTTCTGAAGTCTTTCGAGTTCCTCCAGGAGCTTGTGTTTGTCCTCCTTACTGCCGTTCCATCCTCCCAACAATGGCTTATACAGGATCTTACCAGCTTCATTACGCCTCTCCAGAATCACCACCTGCTTAACACAGACTTCTGTGGTCAGTGGCCAATTGTGGATTTTGCCAATATCGATGACTTTGATGGGAAAACAGGCCAATAACCACTAACCGATTGGTAATTCTAATTAACAATGATATAAATGAAAACTTTCTATGGAAAATTTAAAGATTTCAGTGTAAAATAGTTCAGAACTTGATTATAAAATGAACTATTTTATCACCGTGGACGGAATTTTCCAGCTTTCCGTGTTTTCCCTGTTATACGGTAGGGGGCGCTATTACACATCTGAAAGAGTACTGAATCTACGGCTCAAAACACAGGCAAAAATGAACAGGAACAAGCGATGAAATCATTGCTTATGCACGTTTTGGTCTACGTAAAAAAACACGATTTTCTCCGCTTTTGGTTCAAAATGGTGCTTTTTTAAACAAAAAAAGTCAAGTGTTGATTAAAAAAAGAGAATGCATTAAGCATTAATGCATTAAGCATAAAAACAACATATCGGTCGACCAAATCTAAAGGGGCTTTTGCACAGGGTAGGTATAGGAACTAGTAGCCACCATAAAGCTTATTAATGCTTTGTCATAGGTGGTGGTTGTGTGGGAATTTAATTGTGATGGCGCGGCAGACTTTTATTTTGATGGCGAAGAGAACAGGCTAGCCAGAGCCTGAGCACACAGCACTACCATTCTTCATTAGTTTATGATCAGTTTAAAAGTCCTATCTAATATGTTATTAGGTAGAACTGTGAAACAAAGAAAGTAAACCGTATATGAATAAGCTGGGTTAGACTCTACTCTGAAGTATAGAAGTTTAGTTCCCCCAAAAGTGGTTCCTATAACTCAGTCCCTGCCAAAAACCGGGTACTTCCTCCAATAGTTATAGGAACCATAGATATCTATATAAAGGCTAGATATGTCGTCCACGCTGCTTACCAATGGAGGTCGATGTCTGCACCTGGCGGCCATCTTGTCACAGGCAGCTAGCTCACTCGTAACATTGTGTTAATGGTACATGTACTATTTAAATGACCATAACTTGCTCAATTTTCTACCGATTTTCAAATGGTCTGGTTTGTTATAAACGTCAGAGATGTAGTTATGACACTGCATACTTATGAATAAAAAGTGTATAAATAAATAATCATCCAGATAATTATAGCCACGTTAATAACGTTTGTAAGAAACCAAACCGTTTGTAAATCCGTCAAGATTTCAACGAGATAGGAGTATTTGTGTTCGTGCTGACCGCTCATCTTACATCAGCTTGCCTGTGACAAGATGGCCGCCGGTGATGACGATGGAAACTCCGCCGTAACACATCTAGCCTTTATATACATATCTATGATAGGAACTATGAAAATGCTAAAGCCCCTTAAACTGCATGGAGAAGATAAGGTCTACCTGTGGTGGTGTGCCGTCATTGTTCTGTAGAAGAACATCACAAAGAGGCTGCTGCCGTCGCTGGTAGACGTAAGCAAACCGCAATACATCATTAGTGTTAGTGGAGGCTAGTGAAAGGAACGCTTCATTTCCTGTGGCGAAGGACTCTTCCTCACCAGTGATGAGTAGAACGCAATATCTGTAGAAAAGACATCGCAGACCTTTGGAAAAGACATGTTGCACCAGATTAACTACTGATTTTTACACAGCCATCTTACTTCCTGCGTCGATGGAACTGTTTAACCGGGCAAAGCTCATCAAATAGCTTCTGGTTTACCAGACGAGGGGCCAGTAGGAACCTGTTGTTGGAGATGAACTCATCTATGATCTGCTTCTTCATCCCTTTAGCCTGAGGGAGAAGGTAGTCAATTGAAAGTCAGAGGTAAACATCTCAAACATCTCATGTGACCACCATTTTCTAAGCAAGGCATCGTTTCTTGGTCCTAGAACAAAGCATGCATGCAAACCTTTAAGAATATCTACAATCAGAGGGAAGCAAGATGTTGCTGAAGCCCTAACCTAATTTGGGTATTGAACTAATGTGTTGATTTATGCCATTAAAAGACTTCATTCAATCAATATGACCTACAGAAGTTAAAGTAACAGCTCTACCTGTATAATGTCTGCAGGGTTCTCCACGTCCTCTTTGAAGACAAGCATGGTTGGAGCGTAAGTGTTAATATTGAATTTTCTGAGCAGGTCAGCAGTCTCAGAAAGACCTTGATCCACATATCCAAACTGCACGTAATCCTTATAGGCAAACGCTGTTAGCTATTGAAAAGTAATGGTAATGATCAGTCATTGGGGTACTGGAAGGAGTATTGGCAATTCTTGAGTTGGTTACTAACAAACTTTACCTTATAAAGCAGAGGAACCGAAGGCACTTGGTCGAACAGGAGAACGTGTGGCTTGTTCAGCTCATGCCAGCTCTTCAGAAACTCTTGGTTGTTCTTGTCTGTGACCTACAGACATCCATGAAGGAGATGTTTAGGATCACAAGAAGATGCAGATATTGGGAGTGAATGAGGGTGTTCACTAACCTTTTCGACTAGTCTCTGTGGCAGCAAATCCTCTACGAACTGCATCAGGTGGCCCTTAACAACAGCGTAATGAAAGAAAGACACTTTTCCATTGACAACACCAAGAATGGATGGAGTCTGATGTGCGCCCAGGTGATTTGATAAACGCCGCTCGTAACCAACATCGACCACACCGATTCCAATCCCTAGAAATGAGAAAAAAAAAGTACTTGAAGGAACTCGACTTAAAGGGATACTCCACTTTTTTTGGAAATAGGCTCATTTTACAACTCCCCCAGAGTTATACAGTTGGGTTTTACAGTTTTCAAATGTATTCAGACGATTTTCGGATATTTAGAAGAATATCAGTAACCAGACAGTTTCTGGTCTCATTGACTTCCATAGTAGGAAAAAAAATATACTATGGAAGTCAATGAGACCAGAAACTGTCTGGTTACTGATATTCTTCTAAATATCAGAAAATTGGCTGGAGGGATTCAAAAATGGTAAAACCCAACTGTTTAACTCTGGGGGAGTTGTAAAATGAGCCTATTTCCAACAAAAAAGTGGAGTATCCCTTTAAACTCATTTTAACTCTAGTAAGGTCATATCACTTACTGGGTCATGACATGTAAGCATATCTAGAAAATCGACAATCTCTCACCCAGAGTTTCCAATTCCTGCACTGTTTCTTTCCAGACTGGCTCGATATGGATGCAGCTAAAGCACCAGTCTGAGGTAATCTTAATCAAGTAAGGCCTCTTGAAGCTGTCAGGCACAACTTCATTGACATACTGGTTGAAATGCAACGTGTACTTGCTGTCAGCAAAGTCCCGGCCACCCTTATTGTTAAAGGGAAAGTGGAAGAAAGACTCGTCAAAGTAGAAGTTGTCATGAAAGTGGTGGAAACCGTAATACGGGTGAGTGTTGTCTGTTTGTCGATAGCGATTGTAGCTGGCTCTCTTCTCCTCATTTGTTAAGATCTATGGAGTAACATGAAGTTAACATCAACATTACAACATTATGTAATCTGTTCGGAGACTATATAAGCTGGAGTACCTCATAAGACTTGGTTATCTTGATGAACATGTCTTCTGCTTCAGGATTTTTGTTTTTATCAGGATGCCTGACGGTGGAAATGAAAGAGTACCATTTTTAGACGATATTAAATTACTGGATAAGTATTACAATCTACAGGGGAAAAAATAGCACTCTCACCATTCTTTGGCCAGGCGTTTGTATACTTTCTTGATTTCTGCTTGGCTTGCGCTTCTGGTGACTCCAAGAACCTTATATGGATCAAATTCTGCAGTGCTTTCCACCACAGCGTCCATCAGGAGCACGTAGAAGACCATCATCACAGAGAGCAGTACCACCACCATCTTCATCATGACCATGTGTTCTGCTGCCCAGAGACTATCACAATAATGAAATTATGAAGGTAATTATGGAGATAATGCTGAAGTATGAAATATTATAAGGTAAATAGGTATTTGGTTATAAAAAAAATTAATGAACAAATAAATAAATGTAAAATCAAGACAAGTGCACAAATAAATTATTTCTGATAAACAAAAACAAATGACGGGCAAATAGATAAATAAACATCTAAACATTAAATATTTATTTATGTGAATTTGAAAAAAAAATGTGAAGGGTAAATAGATAAATATGTAGGCCAACATAAATTAAGGAATTAAATATATCCATTCATATTGTTAGCTAAAACTCTTTTTTGGCATTTGAAATAAACCTAAAATAATGTAAAATAAAAAATATTATGAAAAACGTAAATTATGTTGCCTAATTGACAACTGACTGAAAAAAATAAAAGTCAAATAGAAACTTAAAAATAAATGAAATATTGCAACAGAATTACAAAACCTATAATTAAAATAGGTCTACCGGAAAATATACAACGGAAAGCCCAATGTTAATACAATAGTATAAATAATATTAATATAAAACTTAATAGATGGGTAATAGATATTATGAATCATTTCAGTCTTCATTGTGATATGACCGAACTGCCTTCGTCTGCCATATCCCAAATATCATACAAAATAACAAGCGTATTAAAATAAAATGTGTCCATTTCAAATACTGAAAGCTGTCATGCAATATACAGAAGTTTCTAATAGATGTCATGTCAGTGACACATGCTATAGTCGCGTTTAGACCTTTCTTTTCTATGGTTTAGACCATTACATAAAAACGCAAAATAAAGCGAAATCAAAGGTAGAAGAAAATAGCCAATTAAACGCGGACAATAATAAAGCAGGACATGCAGTAACGACCTCTGACGAATGTGCATTATCCAGCTAGCCTGTTAGCTAGCTCATGCATTTGTCACGAATATGACATCAAAGCGAGAGAAGACTATTAAAACATGAATGGATTATGAATATACCACTACGAATGGTAAGAGAAGTTCATCCATCCATCTGAGTGACGCGTTCATAAGCCGTGACACATGCGCATTAATATTAGCAGAGATTCATAGCGGCACATACACCTCTCTCTCTCTCTCTCTCTCTCTCTCTCTCTCTCTCTCTCTCTCTCTCTCTCTCTCTCTCTCTCTCTCTCTCTCTCTCACACACACACACACACACAGAGAGAGAGAGAGAGAGAGAGAGAGAGAGAGAGAGATAGATTTAACGTGGGGTATTACAGTGCCATTCCAAAAACACACTGATATGGTATCAAATGCAAAGGTACGTTTCTTTCAAACCCCACTAAACAGACTGCACATAGGATTAAAATTTTAATACAATCCAGACTCCAGATAGCAATGTCACTCGTCAAGAAATATTAATTAGTTAAACTATACTTCATTACAGTTCAACTGTGTTTAAAAGTTAATTGAAGTGCACAGCTAAAGTCTTTCATCTATTCATCCATTTGTAGGACCAACTTCTGTCTGACAGACTTGCAGCCTTTAACAGAAAAGATTTTCTCTTTTTCAGGGAAGAAGGGCATTTCTCTGGCCACTTTATCTGCCAGATCAAAGTCTTCAGTCATGTTCAGATGGACCATCTCAGCCACGACGCACTGACGCACATGCTTCAGCTCCAGAGGTAGGAAAGGAATATAGTGATCAACCAGATGATGATCTATGAGACTGGAGTGTTGAAATCCACCTGTAGACAAAATGAAAGGAGTTATTTGATGTCAAAATGCATTAAAACTTTGTAGCTTGCTCATTCGAATATGGCACCAGCAAAGAAAGTCAACAATTGGAAAAGTCGTATTGTACCTTTTACCATATTCTGTTATTGAAAAACGGTTGCTTTAATTAGCTTGAACAACACTGAAAATCATTAACAAGACCCTTGTCTCAAAATATATTCAATAATTTTACCAATTCTCATTTGCTACTTATCTACATTAAAAAAAAAAAAAAAAAACATCAAATATTAAATCAAATTAGCACAGAATCCACTTTGCGCTGTTGCACGACTGTGTCAAGGATTAGCCAAATTTCCACGTGCATCTTGAAAAGGTGATGTTTTGGAAAGTGTTGCTGCAAGTTTTTGTGCCACATTTAGAGGAAAATAAAATCAAATGCGCTTTTTACCCCGGTACATATTTATCCCCGTTGTACCCTACTAAAAAGCATTGGCATGGGTGCATTCCTAATTCATTGTGATTATATTAAAATCATACTGCCTCATTGGAACCTTACTTGTCCATGTCCCGAAGCCCATCCCATCCTTAACCCTAACCATATTGAACCTGCTGTTCAGTAAAGGTGTCCTTGAAGGACCAGGAAGGGAGCCACAGTTATACATTGTTTATACATTTATATATGGATTTTATTTTAAAAAGTTATACGTATTTGGATTTACGCATATATACTTTTGAACTGCAAGCGTCAATTTGCCAGACTATCCGATCACTGCGTAGACAGCGACACATTTTCATCCCAAGGCATCATATACGACGCTTTTGCCAAAGCGTAGACATCCAACGCACATGGCACCCTTTAGCGACAAATGAGACGCTTCGGTTATGGTAGGTTTAAGTATGGGTGGTTAGGGCGAGACCGCGCCTTCTGCCCCATATATATCTGCTTCTCATTTGACGCTAAAGGCCTTGTGCGTTGGATGTCTACGCTTTGGCAAAAGCGTCGTATGACGCCTTGGGATGAGAACGGGCTCAGTATTAAATAGCCTATCTGTCACTTTATTTTCACTTTTCAAATATTTTCTTCATTTGAAATACATTGGAAATATATATATTTTGCAGAATACTTAAATTATCTTTTAATACATACTGTTTTTGTCATTAAAAATGTTTCGAAAGATTTTAGTCTCCATATCCTTGCTGTTCATCCATAGCTCTTCCCGATCTTTGCCTTCTCTCCAGGAATCCAGAGCCACTTCAGCAATCACATTCCCACCTGCATTACTAAGAATAAACAGCTTAGTTAGGTCAATGTTTTGGGAGAGTAGAGCTATTTAACTACCACTTTGTTTTAATTGTATATAGTTAATATGTTGGCTACAACTGCATTTGTGAAAATCTGAAAACAAACCAATGATTGTAGAGCTTTACCTAAGAAAAATGAAGAGTGCATTGTGGAATGACACTCCGTCTACACGGGCATTGTAGTCCAGAAAGGGCTTTATGGTGTCAATCAGCTTTGGCTGCATCTTGTCCATTTCATCAAATATGAACATGGAGCGGGGGAAACTTGATACACTCTCAGAAATCCACTGCTTTAGCTGTGCCTGAATAAGAAGAAAATGCAAATCCCAGTAGAGAAATTACTTCTGATAAATGCAATATTCCAATAAACATTTTACAAATATGTACATTATTTTTACTTATTTTTAATGTACAATTTACTAAATTTTCAGTGTAGTACTGAATAATGGGCAAAAAATGGTGTCTGTTTAATTGTATAAAATGAAAATATCTGGGCAACTGCGAGTCTGAGAGTCTTGTGGGCCATCTTACATCTTAAAGATAAACAGAGCCTGAACATAAAGAAGCAATCATTTGTTGTAAATGCAATTGCTAGAGTCTTAGATCAAGACTAAAAGGACTACCATTTATTTACTTACACTGTACAAATCTGACTTTTCTTTGTGTGGGAAATGATGCTCAGATATATAAATGTGAACATGTTTGCTGTTTTCCCCTTTTTCATAAATGTTTCTTGCGATGATTTTAGCAACATGATTTTTCCCAACTCCTGTAGTCCCGTGGAAAGACAGAACCAGCGGTTTGTTTGGTTTGCTGTCAGTCATAAATGATGTTACAGCTTTCAATACAACATCAGACGCGATGTGCTGCCCAAAGAGAGAGTCTCTTAAATCTTTCTCCAAACCTGAAAGATGTGGAGAAATGTCAAGTCAAAGATTGTTTGTAGCTTGCGATGATGATTTGTGCTATAAAAAAATAACTCCAAATAACACAGAAAGCAAAAAAAAACATTTCAAAAGAAAGTAGCATACAAATGAAATCACATGGGGGGGCGGGTGTCTCATGCAGGTTCCCTTTCGAAACATTCACTCGTATTGCATCTGCTATGGGGAAAACACGCTTTTCTCCGATTACTGAGGCCTACAGTAAAGGTAGTGCTACTCCACGCGCACTTGTTGGCTGAGCAGTGGAAACTGCATGAACCTATGGCAATGCAGTGTATTTGTGCGAGCCAATCACGGTGCATCCCACCCAACCAAGCGCAAAACCCGCCTGCGTTCTGCTGATCAGCAGCTACCCAGGCTCGGCCATTTCATCTCTATGATGGAACAAGTGCTGTTCCTCTGAGACAGAAGGGGATGCGCATCCTGAAATACCTCGACGACTGGCTTGTCTTAGCCCAGTCAGAGGCAGACTTTCATTCATACAGATCCGTGCTCCTCAGCCCTTTGGAATGCCTGGGACTCATGATAAACCTAGCCAAGGGCTAGGTTTCTAGTCGCTGGGTAGAAACAACCTGGTTGTTCGCTTCATGAAAGGGGCAAGCAGGCTCAACCCGCCTCATCCTCTTATCATACAACCAATCAACGGTCCTTAGGGCCCTCAAAGGGCCCCACTTCGAGCTGCTATAGTCGGCTTGAGTTTGGGCCTTATGACTCCAAGGTTGTCCTCAAGCCAAGGCACGGCTACTAGGGGTGGCACGGTACATGAAAAAACATCCAAACCGGTCGGTTCGCTTGTATCGGTTGGGATCGTGTGTGCATCTGAAACCTGAAACATCTGACCTACGACATATGTCGGAATAAGACGTGTGTGGACAGACATATGATGCTTGTTCGACTTGAACCGGTGCTGCACAGAGCGATCAGTGAATGACATCAAAATACCACGAGAGCGACGGCTCTGTATGGTTTCCAATCACTCTCGAAGTACTTTGATGTCATTATAGATTGCTCTGTGCAGCGCCGGTACAAGCCAGTAAAAGTGGAGTGCTGCTGGTCACGTCACACAGAAATGGCAAGTGGGAGAGATAAGGAAGGCTAACCAGAGTTGGAGGATGCGCCAGTGTCGTATAAGTCTGGTGTGTGGGGACATATTGGATTTCATGTTATGATATTTAAATATAGCTACAGTGGCACTTTAAGTTTAGATAAGAACTCTGTTGATACTGTTTTTGTGTTGAGGTTGACCTTATGTTTCACTTTATGATTATGGCCTTTGCTATTGCTATAGCCTAATTATAAGCAATTATGTTTCATATAGTTTGACTTATTTAAAAGACAGTTTTAAGAGTTCCTCTCTTTTTCTTTTAAAAGATAGGCTATAATTTCTGTAAGAGCTACACTTAAGTTGGCAGTTTGATAAATGCAAGTTAATTTCAATCTTTGTGTGCTAAAAATGCACAGATATGCTGCATCGACATAGATTCATGGAGTTCCCTTCCCACTACTCCGCCAATAAGCGCACATCACGGCACTATAGCTGTGCAGTAGCACTGAGTTATTGAATAAAAGGCTTCAATAATTAGAGAAAGAGGAATTTTCCCCATATAGCCTATGCAATAGCCTACTCATTGTTCCCATTTTTTTCAGGGAACCAAATTTACTTCTTTTTTTTCTGAGGTTTTCTGTGACTTTTACCACATGACAATTTATATCTTATAACTTCTAAAATGGTATAAAAATAGTTACATTATATAATATAATACAATTAATATTAATATATATATTGTTGTAATTCAGTCAGAAAGGGAATTAAACATAATGAGGGGTCATTTCATTTCGATCCCTTTCCCTTTCTTTCATTAATGCTATTTTATTGGTAGCTAAACACTTCAAGGAGTGTGGTAAAAACCGTTGACGTGGGAATGTTACCAACGTCAAAACCACAGTTTAGGAATAAACAAGTGCGCTTAAACACGACATACAAATTATATAGGAAAATAACTTAAGCTAGGCTACTACAAACAAATTAGCCCTACAACGCAACGTTTTTGTCATTTAGGGAATGGAAGTTATCCGACACATTCAACAAAGGAAATATTTGACACTGTTTGAACCAACGTTATCGTTAAATAATACGATTTAGCCTACATTATTATTTTGCAGGTTTACTCACCTTTAGGGTCAAAAGGCAGCAAACCGTCCCGTTCAAAAAATGTGTAAACGACATAAGATGCAGCAGCCGCGAACACATCCAGAAAACCTGAAGATAATGTAATATTAGACACCAGTAATAAAACTAACAAAAGGCGCTCTTTCATTGTGAAAGCGAATCATCCAGATCTCTTTCAGTCTAGGTTTACGGTTTCGTTTTTGCAAAACAACTCGGAGGGAGAACTAACGGGTTAAGAGACGTAGCCTAAATTTCACGCCTTCAGCGAACATTTATTTCATTTGAACCTTTCCAGCCTTTTGCATACTAGCTACACACTGCAGTGGCACACATATCTAATTTACAGACTATGAGGAAGTAAACGCGCTTTTCTTGTTTTTCCAGTTTCAGTATGTTGACATCGACTCGCTGTAACCATGGCCACTACAGAAATTCACGTGCTTCTTATTGATGATGATAATGATAGGCCTATTTCACTTTATGAGCTCTAGGCTATATTTACATTTATTACATTTACCAGATGCTGAACGAATGAGAAGAGCAATAGAAGCATTAAACCAACAGCAGGGCAGCAATACAAGCTGTGACCAGTCCCAGTTAGTCCAGCACAGTAGCCTACACATGGCAAGTTTTTTTTATAAATAAAAAAAGTATATATAGAACAGTAAGTAAGTGTTAGTATTAATGGGTCAAGTGTTGCCTAAAAATATGCGCATTCCACAGTTTCTTGTAAATGGCTAAAGACACAGCAGCTCGGGTTGACCTTAAATTCTTCTTCCTCTTCTGAATTTCATGTGTATGAAAGATCGCTTTGTTTTTCATGCTGTGTATTTATTTCTGAATGCATTGTGTGATTCAACTCTTCAAGAGTTGTACTGTAGTTGGATATAATCAAGTACTGCATCATCACAGAGAGTGAAACCAAACTTTCCTCATTGTGATCATGTGATCTGGCTGCATGGAAATAAATAAATGTAATAATAAAATAAACTCTCCTGGAAATGATTACTCTGGGTTTAACTTCTTGAATTCTTTAGTGTCTGGCTTTAATATATATTTGAGTGTCCCTCGCTTCTGTCTTTTGAACAGTCATCTGCAAAAATTGATCTTTACAGCTAAGGAACTTTATTGGCAAAAAGACTACTTTGTATACTGAAAATTCTATGATTGAATTTTTTCAACATGGGTAAAAATACTGAAAAATTGCTAAAAGACAGAAGACAAAAAAAAACCTCATATTTATGTTACATTGAGTTTTTACCTTCCAAGGAGACTGTTTGGAAATTATTTTTCAGTAAATTATTTTTCAGTAAATATCTCCAGTGGGATTGAGTCTGAGATCATGCTAACTTAGAGAATATCAGTGTGTAACAGAGCACATGCTATTCAATTCAAAATAGTAGGCTACATCAGCTACATGTCACCCTTATCAGAAATAAAATTTACCCAAAACTTTCCCCCTCAAAATGTAAAACATCAGTTGGTAATAATATTTATTGTATGGTCTTGTCATAGGAAGAAAATTGCAGACCACATTGGCAATATCCTGGGATGAATATACAGTAGATGTTGATCCTTGTTCATTAGGTCTGCCCGCTGATAGTATTTTGAATAAACAAGAGACTTTTCAGTATTTTAACTTTTGCTGCAAGAAAGAACATTTTGATGTTCTGGATCAATGAGAAACGCCTTCAATCAAAATAAATAGCATAAACTTGTGAAAGAACTCAATGGAATTTTTGACATGTACATTCCTCTAGACGTATTTAATTGAATATGGGCAGCCTCAATTGTGTGTTTAAAAGTTAAGACAATAAATTGGACAACTAATGTTGCTAAAATTGTTCATCTATACAGCACCAACTTCTGTCTGACAGATCGACAGCCTTTAACTGAAAATATTTTCTCCCTTTCAGGGAAGAAGGGCATTTCTCTGGCCACTTTATCTGCCAGATCAAAGTCTTCAGTCATGTTCAGATGGACCATCTCAGCCATGACGCACTGACGCACATGCTTCAACATTAGAGGTAGGAAAGGAATATAGTGATCAACCAGATGATGATCTATGAGACTGGAGTGATGAAATCCACCTGTAGACATACACATTGAAAATGTAAAAAATTAATTGTTGGGAGTTAATGCAACCATATTCAGGTTTGGGTAAAATCAGATGTAATCATCAATTGAAAAACACATTAATCAGGGGCAAAATAAATAAATTAGAAAATGCATAATAAAATGGCCAAATAATATATTAGGAAATATAAGTAACAGACTTATTGAAAATGTAAATATATTTTAAAATCTACATTAGCTTTTGAAATAAATATATATTTTGACTGAATACTTCAATGAACTTTCAATACATACTGTTCTTATCATTGAAAATTCTTTGAAAGATTTTAGTCTCCATCTCCTTGCTGTTCATCCATAGCTCTTCCCGACATATGCCTTCTCTCCAGGAATCCAGAGCCACTTCAGCAATCACATTCCCACCTGCATTACTAAGAATAAACACAGTTTCTCATTAGTTAGGTAAATCTTTTGAGAAGGTAGAGCTATTTACCACTCCGTTTTAATTTTATATAGCTAATATGTTGCCTACAACTGCATTTGTGAAAACCCCAAAAACAGCCCACCTATTTGAGGGCTTTACCTAAGGAAAATGAATATTGCATTGTGGAATGAAACTCCGTCTACCCGGACATTGGACTTCAGAAAAGGTTTTATGCTGTCAATCAGCTTTGGCTGCATCTTGTCCATTTCATCAAATATGAACATAGAGAGGGGAAAACTTGATACACTCGCAGAAATCCACTGCTTTAGCTGTGCCTGAATAAAGAGAACATGCAAATCCCAGTTAGAGAAATTTAGTTTGATATGCAAAACATTCCTAAAAAATGTGCATTATTTTTACTTTCACATTATAGGCCTAAGTTTAATTAATTGTTTTACTACGTATAAAAATATTGGGCTAAAATGCTCTGTTTAAGGAATGGTTCACCCAAAAATGAAAATGAGCTTACAATTGACTGTACTGTTCCTTTAGGCCAGCCAATAAGTTTGTTTCTTCATCGGAACAGATTTAGAGAAATTTAGCATTGCATTACTTGCTCACCAGTGGATCCTCAGCAGTGAACGGGTGCCGTCAGAATGAGAGTTCAAACAGCTGATGCAAACATTACAATAATCCACAAGTTACCAACATGACTCCAGTCCGTCAATTGACGTCTTGAGAAGCGAAAAAGCTGCGTGTTTGTAGTAAACAAATCCATATGTTTTAACTTTAAACTGTTGCTTCTGGCCCAAATACCAGTCCATAATAAAAAGTGCATCCCCTGTTGTCCTCTCACATCAAAATCTACCAACCGACTGTTTTGGCTTGTAAAGGGTACTTGGTCTGTGCATATTTTCTGATTCAGATGAGATTTACTTTCATATAATTTTAAGTTATCGGGAAGCAATTGGTTTGAAGTTAAAAAAATATGAATGATTATTTTTTATTATAAACGCGTAGCTTTTATCTTTGTAAGACATTAATTGATGGACTGGTGTCGTGTGGGTTATTATGATGTTTTTATCAGCTGCTAACTTTCATTCTGACGGCAGCCGTTCACTGCAGAGGATCCATTGGTGAGCAAATGATTTCTCAAAATCTGTTCCGATGAACTCATCTACATCTGGGATGGCTTGGGGGTGAGTAAATGTTTTTTGGGGTGATTATTCCGAAATGAAATGCAACTTCATTACTATATAAATTGAAGGAAATAATTGCTCTGTAAATGACCCAAGTCTTCTGAGAGTCTTGTGGGCCATCTTACATCTTAAAGCTAGAGGCCAATCTAGATTGCAAGAGGCCAAGGCTAATAGTGCCACCATTTATTTACTTACGCTGTACAAGTCTGACTTTTCTTTGTGTGGGAAATGATGCTCAGATATATACAAGTGAACATGTTTGCTGTTTTCCCCTTGTTCATAAATGTTTCTTGCGATGATTTTAGCAACATGATTTTTCCCAACTCCTGTAGTCCCGTGGAAAGACAGAACCAGCGGTTTGTTTGGTTTGCTGTCAGTCATAAATGATGTTACAGCTTTTAGTACAACATCAGACGCGATGTGCTGCCCAATGAGAGAGTCTCTTAAATCTTTCTCCAAACCTGAAAGATGTGAAGAAATGTGAAGTCAAAGATTGTTTGTAGCTTGCAATAATCATCTGTGTTATATCGTCTTGGGTTACGACTGTAACCTTTCTTCCCTGAGAACAGGGAACAAGACACTACGTCCTGAGACTCTACTGGGGAACGTCTTGACTGGTATCTGAAGCAACTGTCAAATCACGACAATCGTATTGGCCATTACATCAAACTAGTGTGACCAGGAAGTATATAAGGGGCGCCTAGAGAACATGTCATCCGCGAAAGCGAAACTTATCATCTGAAGGAACTGTGCAGGCAGCCTGGAGGTGTAACATGGAGTCCACTGGAGGCAAGTTGAAGAACCCAAGTGCAGTTTATTTAAAGCAACACCAAATAACTTTTCCTCTGCGGTTGCCCTACAGGTTGGAAGCGAAATTGTCCATTACTGCTGTCGTAAATAATTTAGCCTACCGCATCCTACTGTCACACGCGCACATGCTCTCTGTTTATCCACCGTCTTTGGAATAATGATGACAATTCAAAAGCTACCCAGCTGCTAGGTATCTTGCATGTTGTATAGTCTACTGTCGAGTACGCTCCACCTATCGGCAATTGTAACACTCTCCGTGAAGCAAGTCAAATTTGAAGTTTTCTGATGTCTCACTACAGAAACGCGACCCGATCGGGCAATCTTACATAGTGTGGATATATCAGATAAAGGACTGCAAAGCGGTGGCATAAGTGCATTTCACCATGTCATGACTTGATAAACCACTGAAACATTATTTTAAGGTAAAAAATCTTACTTAGTGTTGCTTAAATATCCAAAAACAAGATCAAACATAAAACAAAGGCATGAGCATAGACATAGGCTACGTTTACACTTAGCATTAAAAGAGAAGTCCGGCGCAAAATGAACCTTTGGTCTAATAACACATTTTGGTACCTAGTCGACCGTTCTCTGAGATTTGTTTTCATGATAATCGAATGTAAAGAGTTTTATCTCTAAAAACTGTTTAGTGTATGACGCTAGTATAAAGGGGCATATGATAAGTTAAAAAAAAAAAAGAAATCGCTAGTTAATACCACTAACAAGGCTCAAAATAGCCCCACACTAACACCGTAACATAATGAGAGTCCCTACATGCAAAACGAAGGAACCGGAGCCATCTTTGGAAAACAGTCTCGACAAGTTGAACCACAAACTCATTCATAAAGTTCAGCTCACTTCTTTCGTGGTTCGACTTATCGAGACTGTTTTCCAAAGATGGCTCCTGCCTGTACACGGAGTGGACTGTCTTTATAAAGTATCTTCTTATTAAACGGTCTGTACACTTACAAAGTTCTCAATGCTTTGTTTTGCATGAAGGGACCCTCATTATGTTACTGTGTTAGTGTACACTAGGCGCCTCTTAAATACTTCCTGGTCTCAATAGTGTGATGTTGATTGTCATGATTTGACAGTTGCTTAAAACACCAGTCACGTTGAGGTATTCCCCAGTAGCTCGAGAAACCTTTCGAAAGTGAACTACAAATAACACAGAAAGTTGCATTTTTGTCTCAGTTCAATGAAATCACACCTAAAATATGTTTAAAAAAAAAACAAAAAAAAAACACTATAGCAAAATAAAACCGTTTTTAAGCAGACTTTAGCCGGCTGGAGAAAAGTCAAACCAGCTCACACAAGTGTCCTGGTCAAATTTATCTAGAAAAACCAGAGGAACACACCAAAATTTTCTGACATGACACGTTTAAAAAAATTTATATCTTATAATAAAATTATAATGTAAAAATAGCATATTAAATTCATTTTATAATAACATTTAGAATAATAAAAAATTATATTGTTGTAATTCAGAAAGGGATTTTTTTTAATGAAGAAACAACACCGGAGCCTCATTCAATTTGATCCCGCTCCCACTTTTTGCTGTTTTTTTGGTAAATGCTTACTTTAAATGAAATTATGTGATAAACTATTTGACAACATTATGTGTCATCAGGTTGAATGTGGTATTGTGTTATTAACAACGTCATAACCACAGTTTAGGAAAAATAGAATACGTTTAAACCCGACATAGTTGTCTATTTAGGAGAAAAAACTGTACCACAACCCTTTCACGAAAAACAAATTAGGCCTACAACGTCCTTGTTTGGAATGGATTATCCGACACATCCAGCAAAGGAAACTTAACGCTGTTTGAATCATAGCCTATATTTCAAATAATACGATATGGCCTACATCATTTTGTTTTAGCCTACTCACCTTTAGGGTCAAAAGGCAGTAAGCCGTCCGGTTTAAAAAAACTGTGGATGACATAAGATGCAGCAGCCGCGAACACATCCAGAAAACCTGAAGATAATGTAATATTAGACACCAGTAATAAAACTAACAATAGGCACTCTTTCATTGTGAAAGCGAATCATCCAGATCTTCTTAGGCTACGGTTTCGTAACGGATTAAGCGACGTAAATTGCACGCCTTCAGCAAACATTTATTTCATTTTGAACCTTTACACACACGCTTCAGTGTCATAGGCTACACTTCACAGATTTACAGTCTATACGAGGAAGAAAAAGCTCTATTCTTGTTTTTCCAGTTTCAGTATGTTGACATCGACTCTCTGTAACCATGACCACAACAGAAATTCTTAGCCTAGATTAAATTATTTAGCAGACTCTTTTATCCAAAGCGACTTACAAAGGAGAAGAGTAAACCTTTCTCATTATGATCATGTGACCTGCTGCCTGGAAATAAATAAATGTGGCTACTTATAGACCATTTCACAAGATGTAAACAACACTGGTCCAGAAGCACTTCCTGTTTCAGTTTGTAACTGTTTTCTTTATTTCACATGTAAAGAAAACATCTTAAAGATGTATGTTTAACTTTTTGTTTCAGTTTTATATGTTCTGTTGGTTGTATTTTATCCCAGCTCTTATGTAGTGTTAAAAAACTGAAACAGGGAGTGCTTCTGGACCAGTGTTGTTTACATCTTGTGAAATGGTCTGGAACTGATGACTCTCTTTAGTGTCCCACTGAAAGATGTATTCGAGTGTTCCTTGCTTCAGTCTTTTGAACAGTATTTTATCTGTCAAGACATTCTTCAGGTTTTTACAGCTAAGTAACTTATATTGGCAAAATACCACTTTGTATATTGATATTTCTATTACTGAAATTGAGAAAATATTGCTAAAAGACACAAGACAAACATTTTTGATTTATGTTACATTGAGTTTGACCTTCCCAAGAGACACGGAAAATATTCTCCAGTTCAAAGTTTTCTTCTGGATGAATATACAGTAGATGTTGATCCTTGTTCATTTATTCTAGGCCATGGCGGAGACGTCCCTTCGGGTGGCCTATAGTTGGCCTATATGCGTTCGGTATCTTTGCTGAGGAGTTGGACTTCGAGCATATAACATCCAGTCCTGGTTATGCACAATCTAATGGTCAAGTGGAAAGGACTGTGCAAACTGTAAAAAATCTGTTGAAGAAATCACAAAGTAGTAACAGTGACACATATGCTGCACTTGAGTACCCCAGCACACCAATAGAAGGGATAGGCTTGTCTTGGCAACCTGCTGTAGTCTAAAGGAAACATGAGCATCCATGATCCTTTTTGGTCAGAACACCATGGAAACCTGTTCAGGAGAAATCGCAAACATCTAAGAAGAAATAAATAAAAGAGAGACAGATAAGTCAGTATTTGACAAGAGCATCATCATGGAACGAGTGGTCAGCAGGATGCAGAGCAGTTGCAGAAAAATGTTTCTGATATACTCATGAGTCAAGGAAGAGTCTCGCACAGATGATAACTCACATGATGACCAAAGGCTATCAATCATACCGTAATAGATCTGAAAGATTAGTGAATGCCTGAGAGATACAGAGACTGAGTTTTAATATACATGTGCTGAGTCTTTGGAATTACATTCAGAACATAGTTTATCAGTTGTACAGTAATTATTGTAAACATTTTATTGGTTTTGTATGCTGTGATAAACTTCATTTTTAAGATCTTCGACATCCACATAATTTCTTCTTACACTGTGCAAGTCACATCATCACCAACACTGGGATATTGTGCAAAATCTGGGACATTGTATTGTATTGATGTTCAACTATGTGCATTAAAAAATCACAAAAAGTGAGGAACAAGTGCTGCTCAAGTCTTTTATCTAATCATCTGTATAGAGAAACAGTTTCTGTCTGACAGACTTGCAGCCTTTAACAGAAAATATTTTCTCTTTTTCAGGGAAGAAGGGCATTTCTCTGGCTACTTTATCTGCCAGATCAAAGTCTTCAGTCATGTTCAGATCGACCATCTCAGCCATGACGCACTGACGCACATGTTTCAGCTCCAGAGGTAGGAAAGGAATATAGTGATCAACCAGATGATGATCTATGAGACTGGAGTGCTGAAATCCACCTATAAAATGAAGAGAAACAAATGTCATATATAGTGCTGTGCATAAGTTTAGACACCCATGCTAAAGTTGCCTAAAAAGAGGAATAAAAAAAATCATCTTTTGCAAATTGATCTTAATGCCTTAACTAAAAAAATCCTACCTTTAAGGACAAAAAAAACTATGGACTGCAGCTTTAAGGAAGAACATTTATTAATTTACGAAAAATATTGATTGTTTAACTTAAAAAAGTAAGTAACCTGGTTGCCTTAAAATTTTAAGTTCATTGAACTGGAAAAAGTGAGTTAATACAATGAAGGAGATTAATTTAACCATCAGAAACTCAAAATAATAAGTTACCTCAACTAAATAAATTATTATAAAGTTGATTTGACAAAAGAAAATATGTTGTGATAACAAATCTTGAAAATATTTTTATTCACAAAGGAAATTGGTCTCCTTAAATGTCCTCATTTGTTTAATTATTTTATCAATTTCCAAAAGATCATTTTTTTATTCCTCTTTTTAGGGAACTTTAGCATGGGTGTCTAAACTTATGCATGGCCCTGTATGTAGTACAAGAATTTAACAATATATGTGCAGGTTTAAAGGAAATTAAATGTAATAATTAACAAAAATATAATGAATAATATTTTTTTATTTACAATTTCTAAAAAAAAAATGAATCAAAACATTTATAAAAATAAACTTTAAATATATACTTTTGCCATTTAAAAAAATGTATATTGGAAAATATTTCAATATTCTTTCAATACACACTGTTCTCATCATTTAAGATGTTTAGAGAGATTTTAGTCTCAATGTCTTTGCTGTTCATGCTGATCTCTTCCCGTATTTTGCCTTCTCTCCAGAAATCCAGAGCCATGTCGACAATCAAACTCCCACCTCCATTACTACAAACACAGTTTCTCATTAGTTGGGTGATCTTATGGGAGAGTAGAGATATTTAATTAGCCCTCAGCTTGAATCAAACAATTACATTTTTTACCTGAGAAAGATGAAGATTGCATTGTGGAATGACACTCCGTCTACACGAGCATTGTAGTCCAGAAAAGGTTTTATGCTGTTGATCACCTGAGGCTGCATCTTGTCCATTTCATCAAATATGAACATGGAGTGGGGAAACCAATATACTTTGTCAAGAATCAATTTCTTTAGTTTTTCCTGAAAGTGCAAATGCTTATAAGAACATGCAATTTTAAGAATATGAATAACATATTGAGAATATGAGCAACACGAAAGAGTAGTAGCTATGGTTTATAATGGCTAGTATTGTGGCCTTGCTCACTATTGACCTGCTTTGGCACAGAAATCTATTGACAACACACTTGCAACAGCTAGGCTATTCGCTAACTAACCATGGATTACTGTATGTATCATTAAATATGTATTGTACTTACACTGTAGATGTGTGAATGTTCTCTGTGTGGGAAATGATGCTCAGATGTAAATATGTGAACATGTTTGCTGTTTTCCCCTTTTTTGTAAATGTTTCTTGCGATGATTTTAGCAGCATGATTTTTCCCAACTCCTGAAGTCCCGTGGAAAGACAGAACCAGCGGTTTGTTTGGGTTCCTGTCAGTCATAAATGACGATACAGCTTTTAATACAACATCAGACGCGATGTGCTGCCCAAAGAGAGATTTGTTTAAATCTGCCTTCAAACCTGAAAGATGTAAAGTGAAGTCAAAAATATTGTAGTTTGCAATGATAATTTATCCTAAAAAATGTGTAGGCCTACTGTATGTTTTGTGCTTGCTATTTAGCCTATAGTTAAAATTAACTATAAATAGCGAGCAAGCAAAAAACATTTTAATAAGGTTGCATTTTGTTACAACCACAGTACCACACCTAAAACCACCACACCTGCAATAATGTTGAACATTTCTCAAGGAAAACTAGATTAAATGAGGGTGATGTTATAATATGAATAATAAATGCTGCATTTCAGAAAGTGAATTCTTAAGAAATATAAAAACACAAAATAAAAAAAAATTCTAGGCTATATTTCTCCATTTCGTTCAAAAAGCACTTAAACGTTTTAACCATGCATTGCATGCACACACACACGCACACACATACAACTTACCACATGATGCGCTATTAAAAATGTATGACTAGGCTAGGCTATCTTTCAAGACTCTTTCAAACACATTAGGTTACTGGAAAGTTATTAAAGTTTTAAGTTTGAAATTAAGTTTGTGACATTGGAAATCACCGTATCTTTTGGAAATAAACAACAAAACATCTGAAGCTTAAACTTAATTATTTTATATGCACATCATCATAGTAGCCTAGGCTACGGTTATACTCACGTTTTGTGTCAAAAGGCAGCAAACCGTCCCGTTTCAAAAACACGTTAAACATGTAAGAGCTGACAGCCGCAATCACATCCAGGAAACCTGACGCTAATGTTATATTAGACACCAATAATAAAACGATTAAAAGATTCTGCGCTAACATTGTGGAAGCGGATCACTCAGTCTGCAGGGCTCTTTCAGCTTTTGGTTTCATTTTTGAAAAGGAACTCGGAGAGAAACTTCCTAATTGTGAAAATGTAGTCTATAACGTTAGCTACTCCTTCAGTATAACGTAACAAACATATTGTATTTAAAAAACAACATATTTCAAAGCAACTTTACAGAAAATGCATTGTTTTTTTGTTTTTGTTTTTTTCAATTGTTAGCATCGGTCAATACTGAATTAAGCAGCATGTGCAAAACTCTTCACACAGTGAAACAGAAGTCTGAACAATTTTTCATTGCTTTCACGCAAAATTCATGATTTTTGTAATGAATGTATGCCTATAATGTTACATGCATTCATGTAGCCTAATTGACATGCATTTTCTGTAAAGGTGTTTTGAAACCATATGTTGTTGTTCATTGAATTGAATTCACACCTCACACTATATTTGCAGCACATTTTTCTAATGCTAACACACTTTTAAAACTGATAAAAGCACATTCAAATCAGAATGGTTGCAAACTATGCACTTCTGTTGGGATTATACTGAAATATACAATTAAAGCAGAATATAATGAAATTACAGTTTTGTTTATTGCTAACAATCAGTGTTCATTACTAACAATCAGTGTTCATTACTCAAGAAAGCCACATTTCATTTTCAAAACTCTTCTGCATTAGGCTACCAACATGAATCTTGGCCAAACAGTTCTTAATCACTTCCTACATGTCTCAAAACAAGCTTGTTTAACCATAACACTGGCAACAACTCTCATTCAGAAAATGTACTTGTCATTCATAACACACCTAAAAAAAAAAAAACGTGTGTGTGTGTGTGGCATCCCTTCATGGCCCGGAGACGCTGGGAAAGACTCCACCCTCCACCACGACCCTACATAGGACTTAGCACTTTGGAAAAAGAATGGAATTCATTGACACAGTTGATGTAAGAATTTTTATTGACCACCAGATGGCGAAGTGGAGCACTATGTCAAAAGCTGCAAACGAATAAAAAAATCTAATAAAAATATGATATCATTTAAACAGGCTGATTTAATGTGACATAAAATAATTCATCTGGGGGATTTTATAAAAAAAGGTTTTATTAATTCCATTAGAAATATACATGTTTCACATTTTTTATAAATGAAATTGCAATTTAAATAATTTTAAATAAATGAATCACATTAATAAACATTTGATCATCATTTATCCTAATGACCTCAGGACCTGAAGTGGGACACTCACAGATGAGAGAGAGGGGGTTCAATAAGAAATGAGCAAAATTATTTAACTTTTGTTTCTTATATTATGTTTTTATTTCATTTCTACGGTGTAAATATTTTCTTCTGCAATGGAAGCTCCTATCACAAAGGAGCACAAATTTGTCACAAAGACCAATTCCTTGTGTGTTTAAACCATTTTTTTACAGTCTATGATGTAAACACACTTGGCAAATAAAACTCATTGTGATTCTGCTGATGCCCAGTGGGTGGAGCCAAATACACAAATATTCAGACAAGAGTGCAGATAAATTTAGATACCTCTGGGGGTAAATACACTGAACCTCGATTTCAATATCCAATATCCATCATTTTGTAAACAATATGTCAAAATAGTATACCCAGGTTAACATAGGGACATTAAATATGTCAGTAAGAAACTAAAAAGTGCGTATAAAACGAAGCAAACACACTGAGGTAAAATGTTTATCTCTCTCTGGCGCCTCTAGCGGCTGAACTCAGATATTGCAGGGCTCTCTTGACTAAAGGTGATTTGAATGAATCAATGGGAAACGCTTTCCTTGGCTGAAACAGACTCAGAGTAGAGGGAACAGCCCTAGACAAAGCAGCGAGAAACTTTCACGCTGATAATCACCAGTCCTGTCTCACCAAGCATGGATTTAAGCCAGACAGAGCTGGTGAGGTAGACTCGGCTCCTTTCTGCGGGGATGAAAGCGACATTGGAGTGAATTTGAAGTCCTGCTGCTGCTGAATGGACGAGCTTATTTTCTCTCTGAGGGTCGATCATGAAGCTTTACAATGCAACAGGTTAGTGAGGAGTGAGTTTCGATTATGAATAATAAACTACTGAATCAAATGCTATCACTGTATCACTGTGATTTAATCTAGTTGTAGTCCATTAATCGCTGAGGTGTATAAACAGCATGCACGCTTCCCGAGCCATTAAAATTACAATGCAACATAGGCTAATACTGGAGATCAAAGGAGGAGATGCAGCCAAATCTGGCTTGCTATGCAAACCTGGGTCTGCATTTATTATGTGCATGCAGTGCTAATATATTGTGGACCAGTGACAAGGATTTATGAAAAAGAGAAACTACTTCTTAAAATCTACTTCGAAACATTTGTCAAGTTCTTAGAAATATAATTTATGTTGGTTTCAATGAAATGTAAATGAGAATTTCAAACATTTTAAAACTATTTTATACAAAATATTTAATGACTGAAATCTCAAGTGTTGTTAAAGTATACTCTTAAATAAAAGTATACTTTTATAAGTTAATATTAGGCTACTTAATATAAACAACATATGTTTTTGTCAGTATTTCAGCCTTTTTTATTGTCGACCTTTTTTTCTTCTTTACAATTTCTGGACCGTCACGCCATGTTAACATTTTTAATTTTAAACGAGACAAACAAATATCAGCATTACATTCAATTCACAAATTGTATGCTCTTATATTTAATGTCTTTCTGAATACTTTAATAAATCGTGAGATAACTAAACAAGCATTATATATTTATATTTGTATGCAGTAAGTTTATATTTTACTTTTGCAACCTCATGAACTGCAAACTGTAGCTAACTTCCATGCAAAGTCTCCATTAACATTATTTGTATTGTATACTATAAAGAGATAAATGTCAGGGGTGTTGTAGATCTCATCCCAACTTCACTTCACAGTTCTGGTCGTAATATTGACAATTAGATGCTTACCCAAATTTGGGTGATGTGTCCCATCTGGGATCTATGCCCCTGGCAGTAAAAGTTGTTCATTCTCCAATCATCATGGCAGGAGTCGTGTATGACCGCTGCTGACCCCCCCACCAGCTGTTTCAGTGTGGATTTCTACCTCAACACAAAGGACGTAGAGTAAAGGCGCACATCATGGTACCCAACAAGTGGATTATACATCCAGGTCTTCACAAATCGCCTCCTAGAAGTTGGCTTGGCATCCGGCTACGTCTCAGTAAGTTTGTGTTCTCCTCTGACTTTTATGAAATGTAAACACAAACTGTTTTGTTTTTTTTTAAGAAAAATGTTAGCTCCTAATGACTTGACAGATGAATGACTTCATCTGGTCTGTCTTAGCACTCTTGCATATTCATATTTCTGCATTACTTTTTAAGTTGAACAAATAATTGATGTTGATGCTTCAAATCCCATAAACAAGTCAGCCAATAGTCATGGTTTGACTTTGACATTAAAGGAATTACATATATAGCATATGCACTCTCTGAACATAGTTTAGTAAGTATTGATTGGTTGAAATGTTAAGCAATTGCAATTGGTCCTGTGTGTGCTTGTGATGGATTCATCTGGTGGAATTATAAAAATGAGTTACAGCAAATCCTTTATCTGTTTACATAATTTAAATTACCAGTTGAGTTTATTATAATTGTCATTTTAGATCATTTGCATATTAGGGAATTTTAATGTTTAATTGGTTGGGAATTATATTGAATATATATATATATATATATATTCAATATTCATATTATATTGAATTATAAAATTAAAAAATGACGATATTTTTATGCATTTTATGATATTTTTTTGCATTTCTGATAGGAAGGTGCATTGTGGCTTAATAGCTATAGCTTGGGCAAAATAGCTATAGGAATAGTATTGCTTGACTAATGCCTGGTTCAGATTACACGATTTTAACCCGATTTTGGGTGTCGTGTGGATTCGTAAACGACAACGGGCGTCAGGACGCAAGATTCGATCGTATCATCTCGTATAGTGTGTCATAGTGGGCGGGCGACAACCTACGTCGCGTCTGCGATGCTTCACGACATCACAACAAAAAGTTTTTTTAATTTAACAAATTTTTTTAACGGTCGTCCACGACGGTTCCGTCACATGTATGAGGTTGACCAATAGGAGCACAGAAGCTTTTCCGTACACAACTTTCAAAAATGGCGAAACGAAAGAGAGACGTTGATGCTAACGTCAAAACTAAAATTAAAAATATATAAGAAAAACACATTTTACCTCAAGTTCTCATTGGAGGATTGACAGCCCATACTGTCCTCTTCGAGCAATCCAGGAACGTGTCCATTGTCGGGTTTTCTTTATTTTTTTACTTTTTTCTGAACACAGGACAAGTCACTCGCTACTAGTTTCGCCTTCTCGATAGCATCACGCGCGCCGATGACGGCATGCGATGACTGGTCAGGAAGCAACGTGTAGCCTGACGTGTCTTGTCCACGACACGACAAGATTTTAGGAGTCAAAATCGCGCAATCTTCCACAGTGACTATCGTAAGGAAAACAAAAAAATCGTGTAATCTGAACCAGGCATTAGCCTGGACCATAAATGCATAAGCATGCATAGCGAAAAGTCCAATTGAATCAAAAACACAATAATTTAGAGATGTTTTGTTGCTTTTATTGGACGTTATTTGAACTTTATTTGGGTTTTTGTATGGTTTGGCCATTCTATATTACTACTTTCAACAAACTGACATGCATAGACTTTATTTGCTGTTTCCAAACATTTTCCTGCTTGATTATGTTGACCTCTACAATCTCGAAAAGATTAGCCTTCCAGTCTGAATGGTTATTTATAGAAACCCAAACAAAAGTGTGGTGCACGCCAGAGGCTTCTTAGCTCAGCGGGTCTACTAGTTACCCTCAGTGTACCAGACCACTCAAGCCTCACTGAAATACATGGGTTTAATCTCCAAGCATCTGGTATTTAAGGCTTGTCTGAGAAGGAGATTCTGGCTCACTCAAGTTTGATTAGTCATTTTATCTTAACACCGTTACCTGGTGTGTTTTTCGTCCCTCAT